AGTAATATCTGTTCTTCAACAGAATTGAGTGAACAACACTCTTTCATTGAGCTTGGAAAGGTTTGGCAAGCTCCTTTCTATGAAATCATTCTTAAAGGTGCTTGGAAGGGGTTAGAAAGAGTGGTTCCTGTTTTTAACAATTTGGTTGTTAACGAGACAAGTGATGATATGGAGGCAGAATTTCTAAACAATAAATATATACTGCCAAGAGAGAGTTGCTTCTACATGGTATGTTCTGTTGATTTTGTCCACCTCTTTTAAAGTAGCCAGCTTTAGCTTCATGTGTCTATAAAATTTGGTATCTTTCGATTTTTGATTCTTTAAGGCTGCCTCTTTTTCTGGGGGAGCAGTTGATTGGCTTTCCTGTGGAGTTTGTCTTACTTATTTTTTTGCATGTTTTTTTCTCCTTCTACCACGTGGAAGTCTGATCTGGGGCAGGTTCACAACCTTATTCACGGTAATTACTTTCTAGTAGTCATTGTTCTGCATATTTCTTTTCCTGATCATTTGACTCCATGTTGCATCAGAAGAAAAATATACAGAGATTTGGAGGTTAAGCATCAAGATATAGGGTGTTGAATCCATTCTAGCAAGGAACATCCTTTGTCTGCTAGTCCCGGGATCCATTTGTATTATCAGGCAATTGCTAGTCCTGCCAATATGATTTGATCAATGGCAGCTCTATATCCAGCATCCTATGTAGTTTTAAGAAATGAGTGCTCGTTCACGCCTAAAATTTCTTACTTGTTCTATTGATCAATGGCAGCTCCATTGCCAGCATCCTTTGTAGTTTAAGAAATGAGCATCCTTTGTGGTTTAAGAAATGAGTTATGCATAAAATTTCTTACATGTTCTATTTGTCACTCATTTTTGTTCTTAATGTTGCAGAATGCAATGTTGGCTTCAATCTTATAGTGATCGATCCACCATGGGAAAATGGAAGTGCTCGTCAAAAACTTAGGTAGACATTTCCGTCCATATAGGATTTCATTAATTTCCATCTGGTTGGTTAAAAGTTAGCTTTTAGTGATAGTTGTTTCTTTTTCCTGTAATTGCATTTTCGGTTATAGAAGTATTTGTCAAACAACGTATGTTTTTGGCACATTACTCCAGCATGTGGAAATGAGCTGACTCGTGAATAAATGATGGGAAAAAAAATATCACTTGACTCTGTACGTAGGTGTAATTTTGAGCTGCAATTGCTGTCTTCAACAAGTACCTTTTGCCCCAATTTGAACATCAGTAATTATGTCAACCTCGTCCTTTTCCTTGTCATGTAGGTACCGAACTCTGCCAAACCGGTATTTCTTATCCCTTCCTATTAAGCAACTTGCTCATCCTGATGGTGCACTTGTAGCCTTGTGGATGACCAACAGAGAGAAATTGCATAATTTTGTTCAGAAAGAGCTATTTCCTTCATGGGGAGTCAGTCACGAAGCTACTTATTACTGGCTGAAGGTGCTCCCTCCCTTCCTCTATATCTATCTATAAGTGTGTGTATGTGTGTCGCCCAATCCATCTATCTATTTGATGGTTATCATTCCATTGATTGTGTTTTACTGAAATACTACAGGTGAAAGCAGATGGCTCACTGATTAGTGATTTAGATCTCTTTCATCATAGACCTTATGAATGCCTTCTATTGGGCTATTTTCATGGACAGGTGAGAGTATGAAGTTTCAATGGATTTGGATTTGGTAAAAATACCTGAATGTTCTTTGTCTGGTGTTTCTTTAAGCTCTAAATTACTTGTTCATAGCTCATCCTGTTGATTTATTTTCCAGGGCACAAATTCTAAACAGCCGCCCAGGCTGAGACCTATAAAACATGATCAAATCATCATAAGCATCCCAGGGGAGTACTCGAGGAAGCCTCCAATTGGAGGCAAGTTTGTTCTGACGTGGTATTAACATTTTCACATGCACACACTATCAGAAATTGGAGTTGGCAATCACATCTCCTCTTACCACTTGCTGTCAAGGTTATTCAATAAGTGACTTTTTCTGTACTAAACATAGATGCTTAATGCTTGTTCTTCCCTTGATATCAATAGAGTTGCTACTGGAGGATGTTCCAGACTTTAAACCTGCTCGATGTATTGAACTATTTGCTAGAGAAATGACAGCTGGATGGACTTCTTGGGGAAATGAACCTCTTCATTTTCAACAGTCGACATTTTTTGTAAGGGATGAGATCGATGATACATCCTGATGAAGGCACTTTTGTAGTGAACTTGCAAGGGAGCCTGGAGCTGTTGGCATCTCTCTTTTCCAAATATATGCTCCTTGTAAGTTGTTATTATTATTACTATTATTTTTCCTTTCTCATGTCCTTCTGAAGTGGTATCATTATAGATTGAGAGGTTTGGACTAGCCTTCCAAGTGTTATTTTCGCTTGAACAGGTTTCCTTGATTTTTTCCTTTCTGTATACGTATTACCCATGCCGTTAACAATTCATTTTTCCTTTTGTGAAGCCTTGACTGGATTCTCTCTTCACTTCACAGATTACATTTTCGTGCAGGTAGCAAGCAGGTGGTGAACTGGTTTGGTCACCATGTTCAAAAGCCAACCAGTTCCGGAACAAGAGTCTATGTAGTGTGTGTTATTGTGGTCACTTTCCCGGTCCAAGCTAATGGAAATGATTTTTAACATGCGCAATGAGTATTCAGATCAGGCACACGAGATTAGGATAGTGAAGGAGGAAGTTCTGAGATATTCATGGAATGCTTTTCCTAATATTCAAAGATGCATAAAAGTTTCACTAGGCAATCTGGAGTAGATTGAAACAACCTGAGCCCTTCCTTCTGTTTGTATCACTTCTCTCAATTCTGTACTTGAGACCGTGAGGCATCTCAGAATTTCCCAGTAAAGGATGTACTTGGTAGGTCTAGAGAAAAAGGTCCTACAGAGAGTCTAACATCGTGCACGCTTTGCTGACCTGAGGGATGTTTGTGATTGCTATAACAAAATCACCTGCCACTATACTATCTCATGACCTATCTGGGCAAGTGATCATCCATGCGGTAACAATCATATCCATGTGTTCTGGTGTATGTCTCTCATGTGATAAGTCTGTAATGCTTTCTATCAAATATTTCACGAAATATGTTCTCTTCTGTAATGAACGAGAAAAAAAAAAAAAAAAGGTTACAGGAGGAGGAGCTTACCATTCTGCAGAGCTTTAAAAGGAAAACAAAGGAAAAGGACCGCAACTAGAAAAGTTTACAGCTCCTGCAAATAGCATAAAACTGGCTTAGAAATACAAGTATCGGAAGAAGCTTCGTGTTGTGGTGGTTGTACTGAATCTCTTGCTCAATCCACTTAACTAAAGAACAGCAGCTGTTACACATGTCGCCGTAAATTCGTCCATTTCTTTTCTTCCATGTACAATAAGTCGCAGCATTTCCATGCAACCTCGTTAAGACAACAAGAAACATCTGTCCTGCAAGTTCGGTCTATCCCTCAGGTATTTAGTATTTCACCAGCCAGCCCATCTATTCAGTCCACAATTCTGTTGGATAGTCGGCCAGGCCTCAGAAAAAGGGCATTCTGATAAATAAATACATAAATGACCGCCCTCTTCATCCGAACTTTTACAAAGAACACAGGTTGTATCCGTTTGTCCACCCATAAGAATTCGAATGAGTATTGGCATGAGAGCCCAAACCATTTAATGGTGGGTTCGGATTAAGCTTATCTGAGCCCACCATTCATATGATTGGGCTAGTATTAACTCCTAGACATACAACAACTTGAGCCCGAGAGAACTTAAGATTTGGCCTGGATCTTACTAACCTGAATCCACTTGATCTTGGCGGTTTAGAGTGAAACTTGTCGGAGCTCATTACTCAAGCAATTTGGCCTTGGGTTATCCATGAGAGATCCACCAACCCGAGTCCACGAGAGGTCAACGCTCAGCCCTGGTTCGATGCCGCCAATAGAGATTTTTAATGTTGAATATTTTGCTTTTGGAAAAAAGAACGAACAAGGTAACTATAAAAAACATAATCATTACTCTTTCAATTTATTTTTATATCTACAGCTAGATCTCTAAAGGGTATTTAAAAATATAATAATAATAATTTTTAAAATATTTTTTTATTTAAAAAATATTAAAATAATATATTTTTTATTTTTTAAAAATTATTCTCGACATAAACACATCAAAATAAATTTAAAATTATAAAAAAATAATTTTTAATTAAACCCTATTTGAATAGCAATCCCATACCAACACGAGATTGTGTTTGCAAACAAGCATTGCTCTTCCAGCAAATTGACAGTATTGTCATGGAATAACAATACATGCTAAAGTTTATATATAAAAAATTATTTTCCAACTAATGAATTTGAATTTCTTATATTAAAATTTTCCAAGTGCACGCCTCATGTAATATCATCTTTAATCTATAATTATAATTTTGGCTAATAAAATATGGCTTTCAAATCCGGATATAAACAGATAATATGGTTGAAAGCAAGCATTTTTGGACACAGTAAAGGTTTTAAAATCATAAAATCACAGTTAAACGATAAAAAGACATCCAATTCGAGAAATTTAAAATATAATAGCTCTTATATATTTTTTAAAATAACATATAAAACTATTTAAATAGTAGTTAAATTGATAGTTAATTAAAATCAAGTAAAATAAAGTTTTAAAACCTAATTCAAAAACTCAAAAATCACTAGAAAAATTAAAAAATATAAAATAAGAACTTTTAGACTTAATTTAAATATGATTTCAGCCTCGTCAATCCAATCATATGTGAGCACGGTGTCTTATTAATTTTATTTTTGTGATTTTATTACATTTTAATTAAACATAATTCTGCAATTTTTGAAATATCAACTCATTAAACTCACCACGAAAAAATATTTCCCCCTTTTGTTTTTAGACCTTGCTTAGGCCTATTTTCTTTTCTTGTAAAATCTCAATAATACCCCTACTACCTGGCGGTATACCACGTCCGACTGCACGGCATCTAAGCAAGACGCATACTCTCGCACTCAACATGCGAAAGCCAAGAAACTGCGGAGCCGTGCACTATAAATGCGAGGGCGAAGCAGTTTCTCTGCAGAATAGGAGAAAAACACACTAAAGAGAGACCCCCTCTGCAAACTCTCTCTTCGTTTACCTCTTCAAAGTCTAAAATTCTCATTGATTTTAATTTGCTCGAGCAGGTCTGATTCCTTTTTTTTTTTTAATGTTCTTAATTGTAATTTTCGGAGTCCTATGTATCTGTAATCAATTCCCTTGTTTTCGTTACTTGAGTAATTCTTAGTCTTGAAATTTGCTTAAACTTATCAGGTTGATTAGACAAAGCATAATCAATAGATTTTGGAAACAAAATCATGGGTTTACTAATCTTTAGCTCTCAATACAAGAACAGATATTAGTTAATCAAGCCAGGTTGTTTGAGTTTGAAGATCAACTCAGGCTATACTCAAGCCACTAAACCCTCCCAAGTCCTGGCTCAATGGATCCGATTCTTAGATCCATAGGTTATTTTCCTTTCTGGGTTATTGTTATTAATTAGCACGAAGAATGTTTTGTTACCCAAGGAAATAAGTGTTTTGGTTGTGTTTGTTGATTAGGATAGGTAAATTTTAGCCAAGAATTTATGTTATGCTATCATGTTAATCTTCTTTTCACGATAAATTGGCTCAAATAAGGAAAAAACATTTATTGAAATATATTTTTACTGACCAATTAGAACTGATTCCTAAGATTCATATGGGTCTAAAAAGGTTCAATACATAAAAGTTGTGAAACTTTTTGAAGAACAATCAAGAAAACCTTATGAAAATTGACTGTTTTTGTATAGAAGATGTAAAACATATATTAAATATAGACATATATTTCTATTTTTTTTCTAAATTTGAAAAAGTAATTTGAATCTTTAACATAATCCATATATTCGTAAAATATACCAAAAATTTAATTGAATAAATGTTATCTGCAGTGAAGCAACTATTCAAAGAGAAAATACTAAAATTATTATTTAGTATAGTTTCATTGGAAATAACTTGGTGCACGAGGATACAGAGTCGATGAATCAAGATGTCAATCCATTGCTAAATTTTCTGCTCCTTTTCTTCTGGCAGGCATAATGATTAAATTGTTCAAGGTAAAGGAAAAGCATAGGGAAACTCAGAGTGCAGATGGGAAGCCTCCAGTCAAGAAGCAAAGTTCTGGGGAATTACGTCTTCAGAAAGGTAATTCTTGGTTCGGTATACTCGGTTATAACAGCATCATGAATGACACAAAATTAGGCATAATTCACACACTTTGACAAGAGTTTGAGGGAGCTGAAAATGCAAGAACAGGACCAAAGTGCACGATACAATCTACTAGATCAAGGCTGGAACTACTGAAGGAATGTGCTTATTTCCTTAGCCCATTCTTCTGTCCACTATTTTATGGGCACTTGGTTCCATCTTTGGCTAGAAAGTACAGGACGGCTGCAGGAAAGTTTCCTATATGAGAGATTATACATGAATATTTCTATTTCCTCTTAATTCATATCTGTATGTTTACCCTTGGCTTGCAGATATAACTGAGCTGAACCTACCGAAATCATGTTGCATATCCTTCCCCGATGGAAAGGACAGCCTGATGAACTTTGAGGTCACCATTAAGCCTGATGAAGGATATTACAAGTAATTTGAAAAACCCTTACACCTGTGCTCAAAATCTCTGGCTCATTCCCTTACCAATGGAATCGCCTTTTTCCTCAAAACTCTCTTTTTACCTTGTCATAGGGGTGGCAAATTTGTGTTCTCATTTCAAGTTTCACCTCACTATCCTCATGACGCGCCAAAGGTCAAATGCAAGACGAAGGTATGGATGCGATGTTTGGTTCTGCCATCAATCTCTCTCAACGACAGTACTTGCCTAAGCATTGTGATCACACGGAACTTCTTTGCTGTTTGCAGGTCTACCATCCTAATATTGATCTGGAAGGCAATGTGTGCCTAAATATTCTTCGAGAAGACTGGACACCTATCCTAAATATAAACATCATCATCTATGGATTGTTTAACCTGCTCACGGTATCTACTTTACAGCTAACTTTATCTCACCATTTAGCCCACAAGAAACAAGACCCTTTGATGACTTGTAATCTTGAATGTCTTAATGTGCAGCAACCAAATCATGAGGATCCTCTGAATTCTGATGCAGCTAATGTGTTGAGAGATGATCCGGATGAGTTTAAATCGAACGTGAAGAGGGCAATGAGTGGTGGTTCTGTAGGAGATGTTCACTTCTCTTCCTGCCTAACTTAGCATCCCAAGGCATACTTAAGTAGCAGTATAGTTATCTCTTGGTGGTTAATCAAAAATTAATGCATTCAAATTCTCTAGCAAGCTTTCTGTGTTCTAAAGTCCGCCCTTGCTGTTTGCATGGATAAAATATTCGGACATTTTATTGATTCACAATCTTGAATGTGTCCACGCCCATAAACTTCCTAGATGAAGAGAGCCTTGTTGAATAGCAACCACTGATCTTTCCAATCAAGCCAAGAGGATTCCAAAGATTTTGTACTGTATTCTATTTTAATTTTCTCCCTTGCCATCGCACAATCAAGTGTGTTTGGCATAATTTAACCTAACTTTCCATTCTGAATTTCACCTAGTTGTTAAATAAAATATAACAAAAAAGAGTTAAATTAAAAGTATGTTTGGTAAAATCTAATGGCTAAATGATTCAAACCTTCCCCGAATCTTTGTTATATAAAAAAATTATAAATTTTATTTAAATAAAAATATGAATTAATTTTGAACAAACTTATTCATCTAACTTAAAAAAAAATTTCTAATTATATAAGAAAACTGAAATCGCTAAACTCTATGAATTAATACTCTTATGACCATGGAAATTTATTAATTATTCAAGATATTATTTAATTAAGGTGTTATTTAAACTTCAAATTTAAATCCAGATCCAAAGGAATATTATTTAATAAAAAAATACTAATTTATTAAGATTATATGGTAAAATATAAAACAATTCTGATTATTTGAGTGAAAAAAATACTAATTTATTAAGATTATATGGTATTTTATAAAAATAATTTCAAACAATTCTGATTATTTGAGTGAAAAAATAAAATAAAAGAAAAGAAAAGAAAAGAAAAGAAAAGGTGAATGTTTAATCAAACAAGTAGAGGAAGAAATAGTGAAAGGGAAAGTGTACATGGAAGGTAAGGGGTGGATTGGGTCCCAAGGAAGCCGGAACAAGTCTATAGGGTTTTAATGAGTTCAGTGTCTTTGGTCTTATTAGTTTCTAACAACTGGGAGAAGAGACACGCTCTCTCAAATGCTGGGTCCCACCCTCAACGGCTTGGACCCCATGTTTGAAATATTAGGTTATTACATGACAGGTACCGTAAACATGACATAAACCCACACACGCGGCAAGTTCCCCGCCCCCACTCTTTTTATTTTTTTCAACAAAAACAAGCGCCAGAGCAAATTCGCGTGCTCAAACAGACACACACCAGTCCATGGTTGCTTCTGCATGGAGGATTAGCCTACAGATTTCGTGCTTTCGTCCTTTTACCACTGTTCTCTCTCTCTCTCTCTCTCTCTCTCAAATATCATTTCTTAACTGGATAAAATTATTTATTTTAAGTGTTTATTTGTTAGTTTATGCTTTTAAAAATATTTTGTCATGATAAAATTATTTATTTTAAGTGTTTATTTGTTTATTTGTTAGTTTATGCTTTTCAAAATATTTTGTCATGAGAAAATATCAAATTGATATTTTTTAGATATTTTTGGTGGTTTTGATATTAAAATAAAAAATTAAAAAAATATTATTTTAATATAAAAATACTTACCATGTCACTCAACACACAAAATCTTAGTCATAATATTTATTTGATCAATTTTAGTTATTTTATAAATTAACTGTAATTTAATTGATCTGATAAAATATGGTTAGGCTAAATTAATATTAATTTTTTTTTTAAATAATTAATTTGAATTATTAGATCTGCAAAAATCCATTATTTAAAATTTAATCAGGGTTGAATTTAAATTTAAACAGTCTTGATATTGATTTGGATAAGTTAAGATGCCATGATTTAAATAACCTGAACAATGCCGACCAAGTCAACATTAATATTTTTTTATAAAATAAAATATTTTTTTAATAAAAATAAACAATTCAAATTAACTTAATGACTCACAAATTAATCTAATAACCAACTTGATCAGACAAGAAACTGAGTCTAGCATACAACCTTTTCATGTAATGAAACGCACCCTACCATTTCTAGCGGTAGTAACAGACTTTTCCCTTTTCTCTTCTTTTTCTTTCTCGTTTTACTATATAAAGCTTTATTAAAAGAAATCCCCAGAGCGAGATCCTTCTATTATACTTTCAGCCAATTAAAACCGTCTTCCTCGTGAACTTCTCTTCTCTTCTTCCCTGTCTTTTCGTTTTACTCGACGGAGTTATATCTACAGAGAGGGAGAGGGAGAGTTTGTGGTGGGCTGTTGTCGGAAAATGACGTCAGATGGGACAACCTCGACGTCAGCTGCAATGGCGGCAGCTACAAGGAGGAAGCCATCGTGGAGGGAGAGGGAGAATAATAGGAGGAGAGAGAGGAGGAGGAGAGCTATAGCTGCAAAAATATTTACTGGGTTAAGGGCTCAAGGGAATTATAATTTGCCTAAATATTGCGACAATAATGAGGTATTGAAAGCTCTCTGTGCTGAGGCTGGTTGGGTTGTTGAAGAAGATGGAACTACTTATCGCAAGGTATGCTATATATATGCCCTGTTTTTCCTTTTATGGATCTGCACTTATTGCTTTCCATTCGCCATGTTTTCCTCCCTTTTTTAGCCAGATCAAGCTTCTATCTCAGCTCAACATACTCTTTCGTATATGGTTTTTTTCATGCTTAATTGCTACTACTACTCTACTAGGTTTTGATTTGAGCATTGAGGAATCTAATATTTAACATCCGGTCAATTGATGCTTAAAATGTTAATAAAAATGGCTTTAATCTGATGGGTTCTTTTTTTATAAAAAAGGGAAACTTGAAATTTATTGAATTAAGTGTCATTAGCTATGCCTAATCGATTAAATAGGCTGTTCTCTGTTCTTTTTCTGTTTGAAAGCACTTAAAATCCAATTAATTAAGCTTGAATTGTTTTTATCTGATTCTAATCACCTTTCGTTGCTTAACCTGAAACTTCTTCACCAATGTTTTAATGTCTTCATGACCCTTATGGTTATTGGTAATGCTTTCTGATAATAGCAGTGCTTTGTTTGATTGATTTTTAATCTCCAGGGACACAGGCCACCTCCTATGGAGATAGTAGGTACTTCGACGAGGGTAACCCCATACTCATCCCAAAGTCCTAGTCCACTATCTTCGTTGTTTCCTAGTCCAATTCCTTCGTATCAAGTCAGTCCCTCCTCCTCCTCGTTTCCTAGCCCTACTCGTGGCGATAACAGTGCCTCTTCTAATCTCCTTCCATTCCTTAGAAATGCCATTCCATCGTCCCTTCCTCCTCTTCGAATCTCAAACAGTGCGCCTGTAACCCCACCTCCCTCGTCCCCGACCTCAAGAAACCCCAAGCCAATTCCCAACTGGGATTTTATTGCCAAACAATCCATGGCCTCCTTCAGTTACCCATTCAATGCAGTGTCTGCTCCAGCTAGCCCAACTCATCGTCAGTTTCATGCTCCAGCCACTATACCTGAATGTGATGAGTCTGATACATCCACTGTTGAGTCTGGTCAGTGGATAAGCTTTCAAAAGTATGCGCCTTCTATGGCTGCAGCAATGCCAACCTCTCCTACCTATAATCTTGTGATACCTGTGGCTCAGCAAATTTCGTCTAGCAATTTGGTCAAAGAGAGTGTAGTGCCCATGGATTTTGAGTTTGGCAGTGAACAGGTGAAACCATGGGAAGGAGAGAGGATTCATGAAGTAGGATTAGATGATCTAGAGCTCACACTTGGAAGCGGCAAGGCTCAGAGTTAGAGCGAACTAATGCTATATATCAGTAATAGTCATGGCAAGGAAATGCAGGAACATAAGAGAAGTTTTCCTTTTCTGGTTTGTGTTTCGCAAGCTTGGTTTGGAAGAGCATTTGCAGTTTGTTTCTTTGGCGCGAAGTACATTTCCCGAATCAATATTGGTTCTTGAAAGGAAGTAAATTTTCATGTTTATTTAGTTTCTGTTTCTTTTACTCATTTGACGACAACATTTACCAGCTGAATTGTTTGGAATGTTTCACAAGCATTACATGTAGATAGTGTGGGATATTTCTCAGTGTGTTCGAGAAGTTCTTCTATTTGTTACAGACTTTGAAAGAACCTGCTGACAGCATTAAATCATTTGTTGATGTTTTACTTCACTAAGTTAATGAATGTTCCTTGCTACTAACACCTTTGTATTTCAACGCTGCTTTCTTTTGTCTTTCAAATCTGTTCTCCCGGCTACTGTATATGGTCATGGTGTTCATGATCCTCGCAACATATCGCATGCTCATCAAATGAGGCTGGATTTTGAATGGCATTGCCCGTCAAATCCCACGTTCACTCATGAAGAGACTCGACACTAAAACAAGGGAATGGGAATTAAGGAATTTAAATAATGATTATGTGAATGGTTGTTATTTAGCAATGTCATCTGCTCTCGAACCAGTATTTCAACGCTGCTTTCTTTTGTCTTTCAATTCTGTTCTCCCGGCTACTGTATATGGTCATAGTGTTCATGAGCCTCGCACCATATCGCATGCTCATCAAACGAGGCTGGATTTTGAATGGCATTGCCCGACAAATCCCACGTTCACTCGTGAAGAGACTCGACACTAAAACAGGGGAATGGGAATTAAGGAATTTAAATAATGATTATATGAATGGTTGTTATGTAGTAATGTCTGTCGAACCAGAGGGGTCTGGTTGCCATCCGTATATTTTTACTGGAAATTTCTATGTCGCTTGTCATTTGCGCCGCTCGTGTTGTCCTCCAAGCTGAGTGCAATGATTTGTTAGCACGGAAGTTTTCCAGGTTTGTGCCTTGCATCCGGCCCATTGCCATGGAGCCCTTCATCAAACCACCCTGCTTCATAACGTCACTAAAGTGTATTTGTGATGAGCAGTAGTTTTTGGCGGGTGTAGTTTAAAAAATTAAATCTAAAAAAAATTATAAATTATATTTTTTTTAACTAAGAGAGTTTTTAGTGAAAAATATACAAAATTATAATATATATTAATTAATCAAATATTTTTAAATTTATAGTTGAAATAAAATATAGTTTCAACTATACCTACCACACTTCAAAAAAAAAAAAAAAACCCTAAATGATTATAGATGTGATTTAAGAAAATACTAATCTTCTTGCAGGGCCTTCATATAAATTACTAACACATATCGAGGGAAGTAGAGCATGCAAGAACTCCTAGTGTAAGCAATTTAATGTAAAAAAACACCAACAGATTTTTCCTTAAAGGGGTGTTTGGCCCTGCAACTAGAGTTTTTTTAAATTAAATTTTTTAAATATTTTTATATCATTTTAATATGTTAATATTTAAAATAAAATAAAATATATTATTTTAATATATTTATAAATAAAAATTATTTAAAAAAACAACTACTATCACTGCAAACTTCCCTGCAGCAAAATTTTTATAATTGACAGATTTTGTTAATTATCATTTATGTCACTACAAAAATGATCTATAATGACATTTATAAAATGTTATGATATGAAGAAATTTGTCATTATAGACCAATATTAACGTTTGCAGCCAACATGAGGTACTGCCATGACATCGTTGCTGGAAACTAGGATTGAATATTTTTTGTTTGGTCTGATTTTGAATTAAAATAAATAATTAAATTGAATTTTTTAAGTATTTAAATTGAACCAAACCAAAAACTAGTTCAAACTAATTAATTTTAATTTAATTTTTTTTTTAAACCAATTCAAACCAAAATTATTCCAGTTACAAACAAAATTTGTTCACAGCCATAAAAGAATCCCTACAATTTTTCTCATCATCTCCATTTCTTTCTGCTGTTGTGTAGCTACAAGTAGTGAGGAGCACAACCCACAGGAGCCAAGCCCACGACCATCACTTTTCAAAGATCAGCATTATACAAGCATGATTACAGATCTCACGGTGTTGTCAAACTAGAGGCCGCAAACTTCTCTTTGTCCAATCATTCCCTTTGATAAAATACTAGAAACTATTCTTGCAAACAGTCTTTTGTCCTGACCGCGCATTTGAAGCTTCTTCTGTCAAAGAGCTTGGGCATCTTTTGATGAGTAGGTCTGGTAAGAGAGTTAAGGCGATACCTTCCCGTCACTCAGATGAGAGTATAATAGAGAAAAGAATGAGCTTTTGTTTATAGCTTGAATCAGAATATCATTGAGGAACATTATGTATGCAACTTATAAAGCCTGTAATTTTAGATTTATAAAAAATAAAAAAATAAAAGAAAAATTAAAAAAAAAAAACATGCAAAGAGTAAAGAGAGAAGTGGTGGTTGGATGTTACTTCAAAGTTAGAAAATATATTATTTATATTTGTTTTTTTAAGTGTTGACTAGTTAAATCAATTTAATTTAATTCAATTAGTTTTATACTTTAAAAACCAAAATTAAATTAAATTGAAATTTTTTATAATTTTTTAATCAATTAACTTAGTATAATTTTTTTAATTTTCTTAGTTTAATTAGTTTATCAGTATTTTTCTCCCTCTACAAACATAAAACTACAAACGTATATTTTTAATGACAATTTGAACTGTCACTATAACTGGCTCTTACGGCCTTTGTTAAGTGTCACAAAAAGGTTGCTCATTGTCAGCTATAAACTTAAAACAACATTTATTAAAAGCTCTTGCAAGTTTTATTATACATGTAATGCCAATTGGTAATAGCAAAAGTGTCGCAATGCTATATAGTTTTTTTCTTTAATTCAAAAATTTAATATGAAATTCTCATTTATTTAATTCATTTTCTTTGAACTAATATAGTTGTTACTTCATAAATTTGATAGATATTAGAATATTTTAATAATTTCTTTTAACAACCGATTGATAAAATTGGGATAACAAATTTATCAAAAAAAAAATTCATAAATTATTTTCAAGCTAATTTTTTATTTCATAGTAGTCCTTCCCTTCTAATGCTTCAAACACCATATTTTCATTAACTTCTTCAACTTGTGTATTTGTATCCTTCAATATCTAAATAAAATTTTTATTCTGTAATTTTGTGGGAAAAAAACCATGGTTAGTTTTGTGAATTAATCAGCTAAGGAACTCAAAGCATGAATCCTTGCTTTCCCCTTCAAATGAATTACCAGTCCCGAAGATAGATTTTAAAAGAATCATGGAGATGAAGGTTTGTAACTATATAAATCATTAATCATTAGAGAGAGATTTTTTATTTTCTCATAACAATAGAAACAGATGGTAATGTGTTGCTAGATGCAACAAAAGCTTCATAGTTTTAGTGTTTGAGAATGCCAAATTTTTATTTTTGATGCGTTTTAAAAGTATATTTTACTTGATAAAATATTAAATTATTATTTTTTATTATTTTTTCAGTTTTAATATGTTAATATTAAAAACAAAAAATTATTTTAATTTATTTTTAAGTAAAAAACACCCTACATCATAATACCAAACATTATTCTACAATAACATAACTATAGTCGTTCAAATTGATTGATAACTCAACCTGATAGATGATAAATTGATCTGAAATAAGAAAAAAGTTTTATCCACGTTGAGTTTTTAATGGAAAAATACCAAATATTAACTTGATAAAGTCAGTAGATCTAGCTCAATCCACTCTCAAGTCAATGAGGATTTTTTTTCTTTCAAATGAATAAATAATTGATTTAGGTTGAGAAGTTATGCAAACCTTTTACCAAGGTTAATCCTTCAATCCGACAACCATGAACATAACACACACATTTTCCAATTGAATTTGTTAGTAGATTATAGATATCGTGAGATGATTTTGGTCAAGAACGAGGAGCTTTACGAGGCTGGCTTTGAAGGGATGGCCAGACAACACCCACGTTCAGACATTTCATAACGAAAAAAGGGCATAGAAAGAGAGGAATATAGATGAGAGGGGATAGATATAGATATGATTATATGATTAGTTGTTGTGAATCAAGTCATCTCACTGCCTGGAAGGAGGGCTAAGGTTCTGATTATTTATTAGAGATTCATTAATAATCAAAATAAATCTATTTATTCTTCTTGATGAACAGGTTTTAAAAAGTTAGCCAAAATAATAATTATAACTAAATAAATATTCATAGATGGTAGAACTCGAGGACCACAAAGTGGTGATGACTGAATGATGAGGGTTTTTTTTGTAACCTCCCATCTAATTTGGTGCTGGATTTTGAAGGAATTAGAGGGTACATGCTGAGTTATTTTTCTTATATAAAATGAAGTTTATGGATAGTTTTCATAGTAGGCTACATTTTTATTCAAGAGGGGAGATTTCTTTTTTTAAAAAAAAAAATATACTTACTAGTTTCTTCCGGTTTAAAATATAATTATTAAACCCTTGATTTGAGAAAGAAACTTAACTGAGTATCCATGTTAGGTTTTAATTTGAATAAAAAAAGACTCGATGAATTGTCCTGTGGCTCAATGACCCCGTCAGGTCATACTAAGAAGAGGAATCTGATTTATATAGAGTAACCTCATTTAAATTTCTATTTCATTCATCATCTGCACCAATGGCCATGGTCTCCTTGCAAGAGCCTTCATGCAAACTTACAGTTAACAATGATTTTTTTTATTACAGTAATGTTTGGTTAGGAAAAGGATACACAAGTGGAAGAAGAAACTATGCTGTGCTTAGAAAATCCAGACGAGATTACTGACATTACAAAAGAACAACTGCTCTGCTACTTGTCTTGCTATAGTTTTATGAGTGTGATTAGTCAGGGAAGGGGATATATGGTTCAGATGGATTAATTATGAGAAAAGCCTGTGCTCCCCAAAGCTTTAGCAACTATCTCTATCTCTTGATTCTTGGGGGGTTTGAGATCCTTTTCTACGTCTGCATTGCATTCTTGGTATCGGAAGCATGATATCAGATGATCATTAGCAATTCCTGCCACTTGCATGAATGAATAAACAACAGTGGGACCAACGCAGCGGAACCCTCTTTGCATCAGATCCTTGCTAATCAGTTCGGCTTTTGGGGTCTTTGCAGGTACTTGGCGCCCATAGCGAAAACCATTTCTTAATGGCTTCTGGTTCACAAACCGCCAGCAATAGTTGCTGAAGGAACCAAATTCCTGCTGAATCTGCAAATTAAGAGCAAAAGGAAGCTCATTAGCTTCTGCCATTTGTGCAAATGAATTTCAACTTGATGCAGCATTGGTCCAAGTCTAAAACTTAGTTGCTCTTGGATTTGGATTGCCCCCTGCCCCAAATCAGCCAACGAACAAAAAGAAAAGTTCAATGTTATCTCGTTGAAACTGATAAGATGATCCCCTCTGTTTTGGCATTTCTATTGTCATTAGAAAGATGCGAAATCCAAATCTTGAAAACTAAATTAAGATAAACCACGAATTGAGCCCTTTAAACTTGTCTATGCTTGCAACCTCCACTAAACTCTGCCTCCCACAAGCAATTTGCAACTATACTGGGAGGCTGTTGGATTGATAACTTAATTACCTTGAGCATCTGTTTAGCATTCTCCACTATTGCACGAAGCTTTGGTTCAGATAGCAACAGATTCCCATTAACTTTCAATGATAGGAGCTTCTTCTCAGTAAATTGTGCAATGGATGATGGGTCAAATTGATCAAACAGCTTCCTGACAATAAAATACAAAAAAAGCATCACCTAAAATTCACGAAGTCCATTTTTTCAAAACCAATAAACATAAAAAGTGAAGACCAGCATACCTGAATATGTCTCTCATGTGAAGAATAGCTAGCCAGCTGAGTTCTGCTAATGCTTGTGAAAATACAAGTAACTCAAACAGCTTCCTGTCATCATGAACTGGAACTCCCCATTCTTCATCGTGAAAAGACATATAAAGTGGGTCTGTGAATAAAAGTACCATGGAGCAGACCTTAAAAGTTAGTCAATTTAGTTTTCAATAAGATAGGTTGACAATTCAGGCAACTTGGAGAAACTAGGGAAAACAATATCCTGAAAATAACACATAACTTGTAAATTGAGTCAATTGACCAAAACCTATACCATGTTAGTAGAATTCAATAAAATTACCCGCACGTGATTCTACCATCTTGATAGGCGGCCCAGAAGCTACTCTGCTGACTGCTCATTGACACGCAATTAGAGCATTTACCACTAACAACTATTCATGGTATTGGATTTTCAAGGACTAGTTCAAACTCTCCATTTTGTCAATGAAAGTGAAAACCATCCGTGGAAATATTTTGCACCTTCTAGGTACTTTGTTCATCTTGTCCATGTACTTCAGAGATCTATATGTAATTGCTAAGGAATTTTGTGATTTTACCTCGGTTTATCCGATCACTATTTGACGAGTCAATAATAATCTGACGGTACGTGAAAGAATTATCTCTGGATCTGGGCTTTTAGTATGATAATAGATTTCATCAATAGTAGTAATATGTCACAATTTGAAGCTGATTCAACAAGAAACTTGTTATGTCTCAACCTCGGTGCAAAGGAACTCATATTCATAGCTACTTTGGCAGTGCTACCAGTCACATTATAAAGGATGCTAAGCTAGATCAAAGAAAGACAACAAACTCAAATTTATGGCAGTAGCATGGCTCTATCTCATCTTTTAGTACGAAAATTCCTTCCCCAAACCTGTAAAATGATGCCTATTTAAGAAATAAATACAGGATGAACACAAATTTCTACATTAAGCAAATAGAAAAGCGTCTTTGACCAAATAATGACACTAGTGCTGGTATAACTCATGGATTTTCGGTCTTTCTTAGTATTCTACAGTTACCAAGAAGCTATGCCAAGTAAAAACTTCCCAGCAGTCCCATCATCTCATCTTCCACTTCACCACATTTATTTATTTTTTTATGAATTTTCACCACATTTGTTGCATACTCTCCCTGTTTAATTATTAACTAAATCTTGCATCTAACTAACAATCCACGAATAAAACCATTCCTAAACTGCTTCCATCTGCACTATTTCAAGCGACCATTTCCTCAAAATTAATCAATTATATGATCTCAAACACTAAAACTCAGCTAAACAAACCAAGAAAAACATCAACCTTCTTAATCTTAAGCAACTAAACTATCCCCTGCTTCTATTGTTAGAGAGTGATATAAAATCTTTAGGCTTTAGTTTTTGGATCGGTGATTCTTTGAAATGCTACCAGAGCTTCAATGATCAAGCGACCAGACGTTTAAATCCCATAACTCCATTTAATTAATAATAATAAGTGCAAGATAACAATAAAAATGCATATAACCTTAAAATTCACTAATTTCTTACCAGAATTCGGAGTAATCCAATCACACCTCTTAACCGGCCCGTCTTTCTTCGACGACACATCCTTAATTTCACCTCCACGAGGAACATACTTGACTTGTTTTATTCCATTACGCTTCACATTCCTTCCAGAACTTGAAGAAGAAGAATAAGAATCCGAAGAACACGTGCTATCCACTGACAAGTTATTCTTAACAGCAGCTTGAGACATTTTCTCCACAGGTTTCTTTGGTTTCTGCTGTGATTTCTTTAAAACCTCAATCTTCCTTTTAGCCTCCTCCGAAACCCTAACTCTGTTTCCTGCCGGACCAAGTATCGCTCGTGGAGGCTCCTGCATTTGTTTTTCTGCCGGTCTTAGCTTAGTAGCCCCGGACATTGTTGTAAATAACTGAAATTGAGTACAAATTGAGGTCTTTCGGGGCTTCAAGAAATGGAATCAGTCAAGAGAGTCAGATGGAGTGGTTTCGAAAGGAATTTGAAGGGTTGTAGAGGGTGAAATGGGAGTTTAAAGAGAGAAAGGGTTCAGGCAGCAGGGCGAGAGAGAGAGCAGATGTGAGGAGAGAGCAAGAGGAGGGAAAGGGCATAAAAACGGACGGGCTTTTGGAGGTTTTAAAAACGGAAGCCTGGAGATGGTAAGGCACCGGTTGTAGCAGGTCATGTTGCTTGCGTGTCAGTTGCCTTAGACCGTTTTGCTGTTTGAGAAGGACAGGGATCTGAGCTCATTTTCCGAATTTGCCCTTCTTAAATGAACACAGATAAAGGGTCATGGGATTTAAAATTAGTTAAATCTTGACTTTGCATATCTCTATAATGGATTATGAGAGTTACATTATAACCACCTCTCCAGTGCCCAAAAAAGAATAATCAATCAAGGTCATGGATGTATTAATTGATAATTATGGTAATGATCTCGTACCTTTTCATTAGATTTAAGGTTTTGAGATAATGTTGAAAAAAGACAAATCTAATAGTCATTCGCTTATGCCAAAAGAGCATCATTATTTGGAATGAGAGGAAATGCATGATCATTACCATTTCAATAATGGTATCCTCTTTACCTAAAGGATATCATGAACATCGTTTCTTTTAATTGATTTTGTAATATAAAAGGTTGAAAATAGGTATAATTAGTCTATACTAATTAATTGATATAAAAAATTCATAATTCAACAAGTTAAGTTTTATTAGACTTCACAAATAAATAATCATTATAATAAAAAATAAACAGTAAAATAGAGATATTGAATTTGCTTTTTAATTATTATAAGTTTAAATTCTCTCAAGATCATTGAAGTTTTATATAGTTATTAACTTTAAAACTTATATAATTAGTCAAAATACACGTAAATTGATCTATTTATAAAAAAAGAAAAAGGAGAATAAGGAGTAAAGTGGCAAGGGTAAATGTGGTATCTTGAGGACAAAGAGCAAGACTGGGAAATGGCGGTTAGAGTAGGAAAGGAGCAACCTTAGGCTAAGTGTCAAAATCAGCTGGCAATGCAAAACTGGGTGTCGTGTGAAGGGGGCATGGCATGGTGGTGAAGTTCCTTACCGTTAAGAGAAAGAATCCAAAGACCCCCCCACCCTCACCAGAAGAAAAAACCAAAGCAACAAAAAGAGTGGGCACCTAACGGCTATGTAGTCATCTGCTCCATCCACAAAAATACGCGAAGGGGCCTGGGCTGCTTGTGCTCGCTTTAATGATAAGTTTCTAGAGTGGGCTCGCAGGTGGATAGGGAATTTGAACTTAAACTGCTGCTTTTCGTGCTTACTTGGCAACATGGCTGGTGTAGCTTCAATTGTCGTTGATAGAGACCTTAGCGAGCATTGAATGAAGATAAACCCTGGTCCGACAATACATTTTTTTATATTCTTGATATTTTTAAGGAATCTTGAGATTTAAAACATTTTTAATGAATATCTAATCAAATATAAATCTCTTTAAACATCTGAACGAACTTCTTGTAGGCATTCATCAAATATATATAGCTGGAGTTTTTTTAAAAAAAAAGGTACAAGTTGTACTGAACTGTATTTACGAGACAAAAGCTTTTCTCTCAACTGAGTTTTTTATATTTTATTATTTTTATGTTTTTTTAATTTTATATTTTAATATTTTTTTTGTTATATTATTTTTATGATATACATTATAGATTTAACAAGCTAACTTGATTGAATAAAATTTTTTACTTTTTTATTTGACTTTCTCCACTCTTAATTTCATCAATTGATATCGGGTTAATGACCTCGTAATTTTTTTATTTGTTTTTTACTAGATTATTTTGATTTTATAACTTGAAAATATTGTTTAACAGGTTAACCTAAAATTACTAAAGTTTTTTTTTATAATTGAGCTTTTTTTACAATGTGATCATTTAATATCGAGTCGGTTAGAAATTAAGTTTTATAATTTATTTTAATTTATTTTTATTAGGTGTCCTGGTATCATGATCAAGGTCGCGAATTTTGATATTTTAACCTTAGTTGAATCATATTTTTTTTATAAAGTTATCTTAATCTCGTATCCTTTAATATTGAATTTTCTTTTTAATGAGATTATCTTAATTTTATTTCTTTCAATATTGAATTTAATTTTTATTGGATTATCCTTGTCTCATTATCTGAGTTATAGGCTTGACATGGTAATTCAATTGGCTTGGTTTTTTTAATTATTTTTTTCTATATTTTCATCATTTAATATTATGTTAGATTGAAAATTAAGTTTGATTTTTACAAGGTTATCATGACCTGAGAATATTACTTAATGGGTTAACCTATATTAATTTAACTCATTTTTGTGTCAATTATTTTGTTATTTATTTTTATAAATTTCATCATTCAATATTGGTTCGACGTGATCAATTAAAAATTGAGTTTTATAATTTGTTTTGATTTGTTTTTATGGGGTTTTCTCAGTCTCGTGACTAAAATTACAGATTTGACAAGCTAATTTAGATTAAATTGAGTTGTTTTTTTATATTATTTTTATAATGCTATCTTAATCTCATAACTCGGGTCATGAGTTTGTCAGATTAACTTAGATCATTTTATTATTATTTTTTTAATTGATTTGTTTTTTAGTCTCGTCTTTCAACATAAGATTGATCAGGGACTAAACTTTGTTATTTGTTTTGATTTCTTTTTATATGATAATTTCAGTCTTATAACTTAAATCACGAGTTTGACAGATTAAACCGAATCATTTTTTTAAAGTTTTTTTAATTTAACCATTTAACACTAGATTAATTAGAAATTAGACTTTATAATTTTTTTTTATTTTTTTTTCATGAGTTATTATAGTTTATAACACAGGTTATAAATTTGATAAATTAGCACGGGTTGATCAAAGTCAATTCAATATATTAATTTAATATTAAAAAAATATCATTTTAGATTTATTATAATCAAATCATATTTTTCCAGACCATTCAAATTATTCTTACATCCATAAAATTAATTATATTATATCAAATTAACCCCACTATCTAGTATAATCTAGGTGGGAATAAAAATGGACGGTTCTTCAGAACGAATATATAACAATCATCTCGAGCATGACCAGGTGGGAATAAAAATGGACGGTTCTTCAGAACGAATATATAACAATCATCACGAGCATGACCAGTAAAATTGGCTCAGCCTTCATGATATTTTTTTTTATTGACTTTAATAAGAAAAATCAACCTTAATCTCTAGTTTTTTCAACAAATGAGAGTCACATCTCCCCCGCTTCTTGAAAAGGAGATAGCGGTAGCCAATCAGCTAGAAGAAGCCCGCGACAAGGGAGGATACGATGCTCATAGACACATTCCGAGCAAGGCTACGGTCCTTCCTTCTCCTCGTTAAAAATAATATACGGTGTCTGCCAATAACGCAGAAACAATGGCAGTAGTTGAAAATGAAACCACAAAGCCCCATATTGCAGTCATGCCAAGCCCAGGCATCGGGCATATCACCCCTCTTCTCGAGATCGCTAAACGACTGGTTGTCCTCCATGACTTTCATGTCAGTTTCATTGTCATCGCCACCAACGAAGCCTCAGCGGGCCAAAGCAATCTACTCCAATCATCCACCCTACCTCCAGGCCTTGACGTGGTGTACCTCCCTCCTGTCGATGTTTTTGCGGTCACAACAAATGGCATGCCGTTGGCCGCTCGTCTTTGTGCCATAGTAGTAGAAGCCATCAAGTCCCTAAAATCTGTCCTCGTAGAGTTAGGAGAGATCAAAGCTGTTGTCGTTGACTTGTTTTGCACTCAGGCTTTTGACATTTGCAGTGAGCTTTCAATTCCAGCTTATTTGTTCTTCACTGCATCCATTGCTTTGCTCAACTTTTCTCTGTATTTACCGACTCTTGACCGTGAAGTGGAGGGTGAATTTGTTGATCTCCTCGAACCTGTTAAGGTCCCTGGTTGCCCTCCAATTCGACCTGAAGACCTCTTGGACCAGGTCAAGAACCGTAAGATTGACGAGTACAAATGGTATTTATTTCACTCCAGCAGGTTCCATTTGGCAGCTGGAATATTTCTCAATTCCTGGGAGGGTCTTGAACCAGCGAACTTTAAAGCTATCACAGAGGATCCATTCTTCAAACAGATCCACACACCACCGGTTCATCCTGTTGGACCCCTAATCAAACTAGAAGAGCCTCTGACTGCCTCAGATGCTGACTGCCTGGCCTGGTTAGACAAGCAACCTCCTAATTCAGTTCTTTTTGTGTCACTAGGCAGTGGTGGTACGTTAACAGTTGAGCAACTCACTGAATTAGCATGGGGGCTTGAATTGAGCCATCAAAGGTTCATTTTTGTTGTTCGTATGCCAACAAATAGTAGTGCCTCCTCAGCATTTTTCAATGCAGGGAGTGATTTCAATGATCCAAAGACTTATCTTCCAACAGGATTTTTGGAGAGGACACAAGAAAGGGGACTGGTGGTGCCATCATGGGCCCCGCAAGTTTTGGTGCTCAAACACCCATCAACCGGCGGGTTTTTAACTCACTGTGGGTGGAACTCGACGTTGGAGGCTGTGACTCATGGTATACCTATGATCGCATGGCCACTTTATGCCGAACAGCGAATGAATGCTACAATTCTTGCAGAGGAAATTGGAATTGCTATCAAGCCAGTGGCGGAGCCAGGAGCGAGCTTGGTGGGACGTGAAGAGGTAGAAAGAGTGGTGAGACTTGCGATATTAGAAGGGAAAGAAATGAGGAAAAAGACTGAAGGACTCAAAGATGGCGCTGCTAAAGCCATGGAGATTGGTGGGTCGTCTTTTGACTCGCTAGCTTGTTTGGCGAAGGAATGGAAGTCTTAATTAGTCCACTGTAAGCTCCTGATGATCATTCTGGCTATTAGAAAATAAATATTTGTTTCCATGTCAGTGGCTCCATCACAAGTTTGTTTAATTTTCTGTGAACAATCAAGCACTGCAAGTTCTTGATTTATAAACGTGCATGTTTCCGTAATTTTTTAGTGTAGACAAAGCTCTTAAACGCGTGGGGGTATAATTGTCTTTACAAAAGTACATGTTAGCCATTAATTAGCAAGTTTTATGGGTTAGAGGGGTGTTTTCTAATTGTTTTTGCATACATAAATAATCTTGAGAGCCACAAAAACTAAGCTTCCGTCTAGGCGCTTTATTGACATCAAACAATGTAGAACTTGGTTTCGGGGGCTTTATGATCTTTGAGCCTTGGTTTTTGTTTTATCATGCTCGCTTCGAATTATGGGTAATTTGGTCTTTTTAAAATATATAAAAATATAAAAAATTAATAAACCTTTTTAATGTATATTGTAATTACTTTGGTGACTAAACCTCAAAATTTCAAAGCTATGTAAGTTTGTAGTCTTTTACTCTTGGCTGTTTTTATTATTTTCACAGAGGTAATTTGTTTTTTCTAAAATATAAAATATTAAAAAAAAATTGTTGGCTTGGGAGACATATATGTTAACGGATGGATACCACATTCTCAAATAAACATGGCCTGTGAGACATGTACTAAATGTGGTGTAGGATGACTTTTTCTTTCCTGGATTTATTTTAATAAAAAACTAAAAATAAAGTTTAATGTCTAAATTTAATTTTTAATAACTACATGTAATATAAAAAAGAGAGATAAAGATGAAACTGAACTTTTTGTATGAAATTCAAATATACTACTTTTTTTTGGAGTTTTCTATCTTTTAATTCCATCATTTTCTTCTAAAAAAAAAGAGAGAAAAATAATTGACTATTAATTCTGGTCTCAAATGATTCAATTATACCAAAAAAAAACTCAAGAACCGAATTGAAAACTTACAATAAGTACAATATTCCAGTTCACAATGATTTTTTAGAGGGTGCAACTTGCAAGTACAAGGTGAACAAAAAGAAATGCCCCACTGCCTTGTTTTTTGTGTAATATAATAATAATGTTATTTTTTCACTCCACGTGTTTCGTACGCAAACCAATAAGTCAGGTTAAAAAAAGCCTAATGTTTCATTGGTCCAATAGCTGTCTAAGGTCATGGCCCAGGGAAAAGCTTAAATTTATCCCCTCCATTCAGATTAAACAACCCCATCTTAAATAATAAAGATTCCTTGGGTTTTTATTTTATAGAACATGAATATAATAATATTTTTTAGCTATTTTAACTAAAATTTAAAAGGCATGGATGTGGAAGCTTTAAATGAACAATGAAATGGACAATATTTAGTTTTATTGGGTAATTGTTAATTGTAATTACTCTATGTTATCAAGTTTTTTTTTTCCTTTTTTTTTTTTTTGGTGGGCACTCAGTAGCATTATTCTTGATCCAAAGGCACGGAGGTGCTATATAGATGGACAGTGCATGCCCTCGCTGCTCGCTCATTGCTAATCAACCTCCTGTCCAGCCACCCCTCACGGTTAATTGTCAAACTCTTCTTGCAAAAACCATTTCAGAGTGTGTACTTTGACTAAGAAACAATGATAGTATCTGAGATTGAAGCCACAAAACCCCATGTTGCTGTCCTTTCAGTTCCACTCATGGGGCATATCATACCCCTTCTTGAGTTCTCTAAGCGATTAGTCGTCGACCATGACTTCCATGTCAGTTTCCTTGTCATCACCACCACCGAAGCTTCGGCGGCGCAGGACCAGCTCCTCCAGTCACCCACCTTCCCTCCTGGCCTCGACGTTGTCTACTTTCCTCCCATCGACGTGCTCTCTGTCACCACAGATGACATGCTGATGCTTACTCGCCTTTGTGTCATGGTAGAAGAGAGCCTCAAGTCCCTGAAATCAGTCCTCAAAGAGTTGGGGGAGCTCAGATCAGTTGTCATTGATAAGTTTTTTACCCAAGCCTTTGATGTCTGTTGTGAACTTTCAATTCCAGCGTACTTATTTTACACTTCAGCCCTTGTTATGCTTACCTTTTCCTTGTCTCTACCAACTCTTGACTGTGAAGTGGAGGGTGAGTTTGTTGATCTCGCTGAACCATTGAAGGTCCCTGGTTGCCCTCCATTTCCAATTGAAGACCTATTTGACCCGCTTAAAAACCGCAAGATTGATGAGTACAAATGGTTGTTGTTCCATTCCAGCCGTTTTCACCTGGCAGCAGGGATATTCGTTAACTCTTGGCAGGAACTAGAATCTGTGACCTACAAAGCCATGACTGAGGACCCATTCTTTAAACAGATACCCACACCTCCAGTTCTCCCAGTTGGACCGTTGATAAAAGGAGAGCCACCACTAACTGCCCGAGACATTGAGTATCTGGCTTGGCTTGACAAGCAACCATCCGATTCGGTGCTTTTTGTAGCACTTCGCAGTGGTGGTACATTAACAGCTGATCAACTCACTGAATTGGCATGGGGAATAGAACTGAGCCACCAAAGGTTCATATTTGTTGTGCGTAAGCCAACAAATAGTAGTGCATCAGCTGCACTTTTCACTGCTGGAAGTGATATTGGCAATCCGATGACTTATTTGCCGGAGGGGTTCTTAGAGAGGACTAAAGAGAGGGGATTGGTGGTGCCATCATGGGCACCACAGGTGGCAGTGCTTAAACACCCATCCACCGGTGGTTTTTTGTCTCACTGTGGGTGGAACTCAACATTGGAGACTATTATTAATGGAGTGCCTTTGATTGCTTGGCCACTTTTTGCTGAACAACGAATGAATGCCACGATACTTTCAGAGCAAGTTGGAATAGCCATCAAACCAGTGGTAAAACCAGGAGAGAGCTTGGTGGGACGTGAAGAGGTTGAAAGAGTAGTAAGATTGGTGATCGATGGTGAAAAAGGGAGGGATATGAGGAGAAGGACTGGGGAGCTGAAAGAAAGTGCTGCTAAAGCTCTGGAGATTGGTGGATCGTCTCATGATGCGCTTGAACGAATGGCAAAGGAATGGAAGGCTGAGTCTAATGTCTGATCGTTTGTACAGCGAGTTTTTTTTACAGTGTAAGAGTTTTTAAAAAAAAATTATTTTTAATTTTAACATATGATAAAAAAATACTAAAAAAATAAGAAATTCTAAAAAGACGTGATATCAAACAAAGCCATGGTATAATAAATTAAAGTTGATGTTATTTACGTCTTGATTTTAGTGCAAGATTTGCTTGGTGTTATTTGCAATAAGGATCAAGTGTGCTCGCATGTGAAATCAGTTGTCAGTTCTCTTTTGTGATATGTTGCCGATTGATGCAAGAATTATATATATAAAAAAATATTAGTAGGCATTAGTAAATTACCGTGGATTATCAATGCATGGTGTATCACTATAGTGCATCTGATTTTATCATTCATAGTGCAAACCAAATAAGCAAAATAGTCCGTTGTAATTCATAAAAATAAAAAAGATATTTTAATTAGTAAAGTTTTAAATTTATTTTTTAAAAATTATTAGTTTAAGTCTCATAAATCTCAAAAACAACTAGAAAATTGCATGGTATTTAAGTTCTTTAAAATTAAATGAGATACATCAAACTAACTTAAACACTCATATTAATATATATATATATATATATATAAAAGTAAAATAATTTTTTTTTTCATTTTCATGGCATATTAAATTGACTTCAATAAGAAAAAATTACTAAACTCACTTCAGGAGGCTTATTAGTAATCTCATTTTAAGTTTTTTATTTTGTTTTATAATCAAGTTGATTTAAGAGTAGTTTAATATTTTAATAAATAAATAATATTATTAAAAAAATAATAGATGCATGCAATGTACATGCTATCATGTAGACCATGTTTATGCTTTTCATGAAGTGTGTGAGGTGTTTTTGGTAGCATTATCTTTTTTATTTATTCTCTTGTCCTTAAAAAATGATAACAAAATAATTTTAGTTAGCATACCAAACACATGGTTAATTTACGAGGATGGGATAACTTCATGTAAAATAAAATAAAAATAAAATAATAGAGGTCAACCCTTAAATAAATAAAATAATTAAATGAAAAACTAAGAAAAATATAAAAAAAAACTTAAGTCAACTCGACCAACCGTGACTTGAGATATGAGATCAGAACAACTCCCAGGAAAAGAAAATTAGCAAAACTCATGAAGTTAAAGACTCGGTGATATAATATTGATTTATAAAACTGAACAAAAAAAAAACTAGAAAAAGATCGAAGTCAAACCTGACTAATCTTTGAAACTCGTGTCATAAGACCGGGTTACTATATAGAAGGTAAATCTAAAAAAGTTACAAAGTAAAATTCTCAATCATCCAATTTTTTTTTAAATAACAATAAAAAAAATGATAAAATAACGAGGGATGAAAATAAAAATAAAATAAAATAAATAAAATAAAAAAAGGGATAGTAATCAAAAAAATAAAAATCAAATTTGATATTAATATTAAATAAAATAAAATAAAATAACGAGTGGTCAAATTAAAAAATAAAATAAATCAATAAAAAAATAGTAATTAAAATAACATGGACAAAGTTTGATGATGGAAAAAAAAAAGAAGAATGATAAAATTGAAAAGATATTCTAATTTTATAAATTGTTTAAAATAAAATAAATAATAATAAAAAAACATAAACTAAATTTTAAAGAAAAACCAAGTTAAGATTAGTCCAAAAAAATAAAGAGTTTGGTGTGGATAACTAGAGGGAGAAAGAGAAAAAAAAGATAAAGTAAAAATTATCAACGACAAAATAATAATTCTTTGTCCACACATACCACCCAAGCATAGAGGGGATGTTGAACACTTCCTATCATTACCCTGAAATCTAGTGTTTGATCAATAAACAATATCATGCGCATCGCCGGAATCTCATGGAGACATCCATGTATTGAAGCATGCAGTATACATGTTATCTATTTTTTTGTAATAATATTTAAATTTGATAATTTACTAAATCATCTTTTAGCTTCCATGATAATAATAATAAAAAAATCATAATGGAAAGATTAAAAAAATTAACAATTAGTTTAGGATTTTTCTTGCTATTTAAAAAATTTAATTATTTTACTGTGTTTTTAAAAGTGAGAAGAACAAGCAACCTCTGGATGTTTGGCAAAAAAATAAATTACTTTCTAAAGCTAATATAGTATTTTCATTGTGCCAGAAAAAATGAAATGGCTGATTTAACCACAGTTAACTTAATGATACCAAATTAACCCCGTGAAAAATGATTTTATACTCTAATTTATGCTTCCCTGGTTTGTATCGTACAGAATAAAAACACCATTTCACTCTAGCAATCCATGTTCAATGAATCTTGTTTCACAGTGAATCAATGATACCTCCTTTAGTCCTTTCAATAATTATTTGCTAATGGTATTGGATTCTCTAACGAATATGATAATAGAACAACCTCACATGCTTACTTTAATATTTAGAAGATTTTTTTTTCCTCCTTTTATTTATCCCACAAAATACTATAAAGACAGTAATGTAGGGTCTAATTCTAATAGGGTGTTTGGTGTACCATTAAAATAATTTTTTTAAAATAAATAAAAAATTTATAGTGATCAAACTTTGACTAATAATATTTTATTAATTATTCAATAAAAAATAATATTTAAAAAATAACATGATACTGGAAGAAAGAATAACATTCATGACCCATTTAAAATAATAAGAAATATCTTTACCTCCTCTCTGTTACTTTTATTTATTTATTTAATCATTTGAAAATTTCTTATTAAATAATTTATTGTTTATAAAAACAAAATAAAAAAGTACAGAAAATTACCAAGATCTTCCGAAAGTATGCACTCGATTTCACTTTCCTTTCATAGCTTTGGAAATTACATATCAAGAACGCAAATTACATATCAAATCAAGGGTGAGATAAATTTTCATTAGCTTCCCATTAGGTTATCTTTGATTGGTGCATTCAAGAAAAAATTCTCTCACTGTTAACTTTGCAGACACGGAGACAAAAAAATTGGAACTCTACTCCACTTTTGGATCATGAACTGCAATTTGATGCTGAGACATTCAGTTTAAACAATTCCAGAAGCTATTTGCAATTGTTTCCATGTCCATTATAGATGTCTACTGGAGTGCAAAAACCCACGAGTTCAAAACTGACAATTGTTCATCACTCTGGCAAGAATCACAGTTCAATGGATTAGAGGTATTTGAGTGCTGTCTAAGCATTGCTATTTTGAACCTTAATAACAATCACGTAGCGAAGATATTTACGCATCAATAATTCACTTGGAGCAAACATTCCTGGAGAGAAAACTTGAAAAATCAAAATGCTCTTATCTCGTTTGGTTGGAAGGGTAGCAAGGACAAGAACAAACCAGGAGCAGGAGCAGGGATATCCCTGCAAACCACAGTTTGTTTCCTGTAATGCTTTAGGCATCCAGGACTCACTCTGAAAACCACGAGTTACTTCTGCAGCTGCATATCCATATTCATGTAAAAAATGGTATACTGATTTCCAAAGGCTATCACTTTATTATTCAAATCCAACAGTTGAAGAATTAGCACATCTCTTATTGCAATTTGGAATCAATTAATTACTTTCACGTCTTTAGAAGAAGAAGAATTCCTTAACAGCATACCTTCCACGATGAGTGACAATCTCAGCAAGAGACCCAATTCTTATGAGTACTAATAAGAGCAGATAAAAGGCCTGCACAAGATACCAAAAGGGGGCCTGAAAATTGCCCTCTGCCATCACGAATATCAGCCAGAGCCATTAGCCCATCAGCAAAATCCTGCACAATTGATAATTTCTTCATCAGTTTCTTCTCTCTCAGCTTCCACAATCTCCTCTCCTCCTCTTGACGCCCAACTCCTCTCGTGACTGCAATTTCAACGCTGGATTCCAGGCACGCCTCATCTTCACTCAATTTCTTTAAATCTCTAAATTTCAAAGAAATGCTCCCAACATATCCAATAAACTCCGCCCAAGCACTGATTTTTCCTAAACTTTTGGAGTGTTTGCTATCGATCAACCCCGATTTAGCCAACCAAACAAATTGCTCCACAAAATAATACAAACCTTCACCTCCATAGGCAATGAAGGAAAGGACGATTTCTTGTTTTGAATCAAAATGAGAGCCTCTTAATGCGTTGACATCTTGAACGAATTTCCCAAGTCGGAATGCTTTGCGACTGAGTCCAACACTTGATTCGAAACTCTTGAGTCGTTTCGTTACGATTAAGGTTTCGGGGAGGACGGATGAGGCTAAGATGATCTTGGTTGCGTAACGTGAGATCTTGAGGAGCTTGTCAACCCCATCTCGCTTTGCAAGGTATACCTCTAAATGATTCAAAAAGTCTCTTTGTCCCTGTTTATTAGGGATTTCATTGGCGTTTTGTGGGGTTGGTGAAGGCTTGGGATCCATCGTGACGGTGGTGGTGCAAAACAGAGAGGAAATTGCTGGCGAGAGCGTGTAGCAGGAAGTTCCTAGTCGGTAGAAGTCTTTCGCGAGAGAGAGAGAGAGAGATGCGTGGGGAGATGGAATCCCTCGCTCGCTTACCTGCCCTTCCTTTGTCTCGTCTGCTTGCTTCTTGTTCTGCGTGCCACGTTCATCAGCAAACTAGAAAACAATATTAATTTAGTCCTCCTTCTCTTATTATTGCTTTAATATAGCCATTCTATTATTTTCTTAATTTATTTGGTCCCTTTACTCATGAAAAATCCCTAAAGTGGTCCTTCTGTCTAATTTTTTTAGCAATTTTTCATCAGCGTATGGCAGGTGACGGTGAACTCAAATGTCAGAATAATCACGACATCCAAAACAAATCAATGTTCCTAATGCTAAAAATATAAAAGAGCAGAGGGTAAGTGGAAGTATAATTATACAAGACTGTGATTATATTTATTTTTTAAAATAATTTTTATTTAAAAATAATATTAATAATTTCTTTTTTTTTAAATTATATTTGAAACTAGCAAATGAAAATAATTTTAAAGTATTAAAAAATATTAATTTAAAAAAATAAATTTAAAACTTTTTAAAAATATTTTTAAAACACCGTACCAAATAATTAAGGGAAATTGCTGTGAGCCCCAGCGTTGAACACCTTTCCTGTGTTTTTCTGAGGCAAATTTAATAGTTATTATTTGTTTTTATTTGAAAATTCATTAAAAATATATTTTTTTATTTTTAAAATATTATTTTTAACATTAATATATTAAAATAAAAAATAATAATTCAAAGCATATTTTCAAACAATATGGTCAAATCATGTCACTTCAATCACCTTGGCATCAGGGAGTGCACTAGTTTTAAATTTTGGTTATTTTCTAAAATTATTATATTTTAAGTATATTTTATAATTTTGATATATGGTTAAAAATAAATATATATAAAAAATTATTTTAATATATTTTTAAATAAAAAATATTTTTAGACAGCATTTTATACTATAAAATCAAATACACACTGTTGAAAAATCTTACGTCGGAGCATCGGTAGGTGGATTCCATCGAGGTTGGGCTAGTCTTACCCAGGCATCGGATGGGTTTGTGCATCCCTGAATCAGCTTAAGCTACGTGGCTTTTTTTCACGGGTTAGTCAGTTTGGTCTTGGGATAAGGAAAACTTACTCCTTTTTATGGGAAACCCGAAGACGGGTTGTGGTTAGCTAATGGGCTTCACACTGGATCCATCCACTAGAGTGCTTGTTTAGCATTATGATTGAAAGCATATTTAGATATGTTTTAAAAGTATATTTAATTTAAAAATTCATTAAATTAATAATTTTTTGATAGTTTTTAAAAAGTATATTTAATTTAAAAATTTATTAAATTAATAATTTTTTGATAGTTTTTATAATATATCTTTTGCAGATTAGTCGGTTTCGTCTGCCGAACTTAACTAATAATAGGTCATTTTAAATTTTTAATGACTTTCAATAATTATCACTACCAAATATACTAGAACTTCCCCAGAATTTACTCTAGCAGTGAACAATATCTTTGAAATAAATTCTAATTTCTTTCTTAGAATATTTTTTTTTCATGATTTAAACCTTTTGATTTGTCAAAATTGTAAAGGTAGAAAAAAAAATCAATGAAGGAGAACCAGAGTATAAAACATAGAAAAATTGCATGACCACCTTAAAATTAAGAGAAAACATTCATTTTCATTCTCCTATAACTTTTGTTTTTAATTTCAACCTTTAATGCCCAATTTTATAACCAATTTGTCAATAATTGTAAATGTAAGAAAAAATTAACGAGGGAGGACCAAAGTTTAAATCACAGAGAAACCAAATGGCAACTTAAAATTTAGGAAAAAAAATTCATTTTCATTCTCCCACTTTCAGTATTTTTCATTTTAACAATTCCTATGATTTTCAAAAATTTAATTTAGATCTAAAACTTTATTATTGTTTTTTCAATGTTCGGTTTTAAATAACAAGAAAAAAAGTCGTCAAATTTTATAATAGAAAAAATAAAATTAATAGCTAACATTGATTCTAGCCCGGGAAAATATTGATCTTGGTGGCAGCATGTTACATTCGACGAGGAGGAATTGTGGTGGCGGTTTTGGACCTCAATCTCATTTGAAAAAACATATTAAAGTCGAGGGAGAATTTGTTTTCGGTTTGATTTGTGTTTTTAACTTTTTTTTAGATTGTACATGTCAATAAATTAATTTTTTGATATTTTAACAGTTTTTTTAATAAAAAATAGTAAAAAATAAGTTTTTAAAGTTCAAAAATCTACTCTAATTTACCAACTACCACAATGAATGTTGGATTTAAAGTAAACATATGTTGCGTCTCTTACAACTAGACTGCTCCTTAAAAAATAATAATAAAAATTTATATTAAAATGGCCCAAGCATGCAAATATTAGCTAGAAGGCCCACAACTACTTTTAAGGACATAGGCACCCTGGCCACGTTGAGCCTGGATTTTGGTTTTTTTTTTAAATCTTTTTGTATACTATTTTTCTTTTAAGTTTTAAGTTTTTTTTATTGAGTTTTGTAGTTTCTTTGTTTTTTTACTTTATTTCTGTAAAATATTTTTGTTTTGGTGATTTGAGAGACATTTAAAATAAATAAACAAAGATATGATATACAAAAGAAAACACACGGGCAGAAAATTGTTTTTTAAAATTCTATCTCTTTAGACATTTGAATTGCTAAACAGGATATATTCTTTCTTTTTTCTTTTTTAAAAACAGCTACCACAAAATGCACAGCTTGATACACACAGAACTAAGCTAATAATTAAATATATGTTCAAAATGTAAAAATATGATTATTTTTTAAAAAATAATGTTAAAATATATTAATCAATATGTTTACCACTTAGGATGCATGAGAAAAATATTGGTTAAGGCTTTATTTAATTAATTTTCACACTACACTGACTAATTAAATGGTTTCATTAAATTATAAATAACTCTTATGTTCATATTAATTCAAAAAACAAAATTTTTTCCAATAGATATTTGTATAGCACATTTAGTTTTACCTTTCAATATCTAACTCATGGCAAATTATTTTTTTTATATTTATGTATTATATAACCAAGTTTTTTTTAAAAAAAACATTATGTCATTACATTAGATTTCAAGATCACATAGATGGATTAATTAAAGTTGATCGGGTTGAATTTAATATATTATTATTTTAATATTTATTTTTTATTCATGTTCAAAGAATTTATTTAGATAGGACGACAATTAACACAAGTAGATAAAACCACTTGAATTTGGCACTACCGTCCATCATCCTTTCTAATTTGGTGTTGATTTGAGCTTTCCAATTACATGAACACGTGGCACTCAATCATCAGTCAACATCTTGATAATGACTTTTCGTTTTGGAAATTATTTTAATCTTTTTTTTAATTTTTTTTTAATGAACAGGCTAGTTCAGTCTCTCTTTTTTTCTGGATAATTTAAACTGACCTCATCAAGAAAATTAAAAATTTATTTGTTTGAAAAACTGTTTACTTAACCAACCCAATCTCACAACAAAATGAAGTATTAGTAAAATGCTGAAGCATAGAGTATACTTACCAGACCCAGTTTAAGATTCATGGGACGACCAATTAATTTGAGTTTATTTAAAAATAATATCATTTAAGTTAGTTTGTTTTTAATTAAATGATATTGTTTTAGATAATTTTTTTAATAAATTATTATAGTTGACTCAATTAAATATAACGAGGGCCAATTGAGTTTTGAGTTAATCCACTGAGTCTTCCAGGTTAAACTCAGCAGATCTTCATGTAAACTTGCCAAGTCAAAAAATTGAAAATTACAACAATAATAACGTGTTTATTCCCTTCGGTATATTCCCATCTCATGTGATGTCATTCCTAGCAATAACATATATTCTCGTGCCGGCGTTTGTTACATCTGTAGTTATAAGATTCCGTTCAATACTTGTATCGGAGAATGGTTGGATTAATTCGCAAGTCAGAATCTAATTCTATTTTTTTTAAATATTCTTTTTAAAATTTTTTCTAATAAAATATTAAATTTTTAGTTATGATTTAAACTAAAACCTGACCTATGTCAAGTTTCGAACCACTAATCTTAAAAATTATTTATTTTTATATATTTTTTTAAATTTTAACATTTAAAAGTTTACCAGACTCAAACTAATTTAATTGAGCCGAAACAACTGATTAAGAAGTAAAGTTTTTATAATAACCATATAATTTATTTACAGGACTCAAACTCCAAATATTATCTAAAGAGAATAAACTCCGAAAAACTTTAACCAACCAATTGTATTTAAATTAATGATTTTTTTATTTTTTTAATAATTTTGATATATTAATATAAAAATAAAGGATAAAAAATAATTATTTTAATATTTTTATTTTTAAAAAAATAACTTGCACGCCAACACCAAATAGAATTCAGCTGCTGACCTCATCGTGATCTATAAGTATCCTTTCTGGCAATGATAACATCCTTCGTTGATAATAAAAGAATTAAAATTGAAAAAAAAAAAAAAAACCATGTACGATTCAAATCTTATCTTACGCTACAGAAGGCAGAAGGCAGTGTTTAAGTTGGCTAGAAGGCCCACATCCACCATCGTAAGTTTGCTGGCTTATGATCACAGCCGTCCACTCAATTCAATCGGACGACTATAATCACAAACTTATCAAATTTCACAGGCTAGATACATATCATGAGCCGAAAAATCATCCGATGCCAGGCCGTAACAGCGACCTTCCTCCCTCCCTTCTCTGGCGAGAGTAAAAATATCACTAATACCACACCACAGCGTAGCATGTCAACTCCCCCCCCCTCTCCTTCTCTAATCGGATCTGCTTATCCTTTCCAAACTCTATCTATCCAATTATTAAATGATTTTTAATCCTTAATTACTCTTATCATCATCATCATCATCATCATCATTATAATCTCTTGCTATCATGGATACCGAGCTCAAATCCATGAATCCGGACCCGCCCAAACCCGAGCAACCCGATCCGGCATCCCGAGACGATGGCTCGAACTCGAAAGACGACCGTCCGCTGCTTAAATCGGACTCGAACAGAATCAGCTCAACGACAGGTGAGAGCATTGAGGAGCTGGAGAAAAAATTCGCTGCGTATGTCCGCAATGACGTGTACGGTCCGATGGGACGTGGGGAGTTACCATTGGCCGAGAAAGTTCTGTTAGGAATCGCGGTGGTTACGCTGGTGCCGATACGATTTGTGCTCGCATTGATTATATTGGTGGTGTATTATATAATTTGCAGGGTATGCACGCTGTTTTCGGCGCCGAATCGGGATGAGGAGGAGGAGCAGGAGGATTTTGCGCATATGGGAGGGTGGAGAAGGGCGGTTATTGTTTGGTGTGGGAGGTTTTTGTCTAGAATGCTCCTTTTCGTGTTAGGGTTTTATTGGATTAGTGTAAGCTATAGAGATATTGAACTGCCTGATCAAAATAAATCTTCTTCCCAGGTATTTTTATTATTACAGCTGCTTTTTGTAATTTTATTGGAGCTAAGTGTAATTAATTCTATGATAATGATTTTAGTGGTGAAATTATTTATGCTTTGATGATGTTGATGCTTTTTTACTTTGTTTAGCTTATGTTTCTATTTGGATTTTACATTAAGATTAATGACTGGGACTATTATATGAAGTAATTAATGTCTAATGATATGATTATGATGGTAGCTTTTTTTCCTTAATCATGTTTAAGTTCTGATCCAAGTGAACTAACTCCTGTTATCATTTCCTCTCCATTATTTGATTTTTTGGGCAGAATGAGGGAAAAGATCGATCTGAAGAACCGGAAAGACTGGGGGCAATAATATCGAATCATGTTTCATATTTAGATATCTTGTACCACATGTCTGCTTCTTTTCCAAGCTTTGTTGCCAAGGTTTGTTCGTGCTCTGTTTCTTGTATATGATTTTAGTCTCTTAGAATTTACTTATGCTGACAGTATTTCTTGTGGTGTTATTGACCTGATTCTGGTTTAATTGTGATGATTTTGATCCTGGATTTTATCGCTGAAGAGATCAGTGGCTAAACTTCCTCTGGTTGGTCTCATCAGGTTAGTTAACTATGAACCATATTTATCTGGAAATTTATTTTTATTATTGGGGGCTTCATTTGGTATTACCAAATGACATGATAATTGTCTCTTCATATATTATCTCATATAGTTTGAATGGAGGGAAGTTCTGATGTATTTTTTATGCTTGTTTTTGACAGCAAGTGCCTTGGTTGTGTATATGTTCAACGGGAGTCAAAGTCGTCTGACTTCAAGGGTGTTTCAGGTACAGTGATTGTTAGTGTCTATACACTCCACTATTATTTGATTCACGGTGAAGATTAAGTGGCAAGCTACTCTCTCAGTGTATATCTTTTTAGTTTAGTAGTGTTGGACTAAGCATGATTAGTTCATGCCATAGATTCCATGTTCACAGGTTTTGGTAATTTTCAAGCTGAGTGGCATATTTATCAGCCACTACTCTGACCTTGCTTGAGTATTTGATAGTTGCAATAGAGAACTTAAGATCATCCCTAGAAAAGAAAGCTCATGGGTGTTTTGACCCGGAGAAACTCACTGGATTGGGTTAGGGAAAAAAGCAACAGTTCTGGTTTTCTGCATTACAGAATATGGAATATGAGCATGCCTAAAATATATTTTGCCTGAAAAGGTGAATTGAATTAAGCCATGCAGTTTAGAATTATACTGGTTCTCTACATTACTGGTATGGAATATGGGCATGTCTAAAACTACTGTTAATATCTTTTGACAACGAGAATGTGATTGCTTGTGAAATTTCATTTCCCTTCGCTCCTTGCAGGCATTGTGACTGAAAGAGTTAAAGAATCTCATGAAAATAGCTCTGCTCCTATGATGATGCTTTTTCCTGGTCAGTATTTGTGGTTCTGTTAAATTCCTAGCTAGAATATTGCTTGATTCATGAATTGCTTGATGTGTTTATAATTTTATTTTACTTGAAAATGGATTGAATATTTTTTATTTTATTTTCCCTCTCCAATCGATAAGAGATTGGGTTATTTGTATATACAAGTTGAATTCAATTGTGAGGAACACATACAGTCAGTAATGAATTAATGGTTTAAGAATAGAACTACACCTGGTGCTGCATGCTTTTTCTCTGCATGGGTGACCACAAAACTATATGCCCCAAGTATGTTGATATAGCCTGCCTGTAATTTGCACAGCTTCCTAAAAGGTAGTCAATCGTCTTTTATCTTAATACAGAAGGCACTACAACAAATGGAGATTTCCTTCTACCGTTTAAGACAGGTGCATTCTTAGCAACAGCTCCTGTGCGTCCAGTGATCCTGAGGTACCCATACCAAAGATTCAGTCCTGCCTGGGATTCAATATCTGGGGTGAGTTTTTCTTATGCAATTTTGATGAGAACTTCTTGTTTGGTGGTTGATTCTATAGTTTTTGTAAAAGTTGAAACATCTGCTTCAGTTCCTGGTCGGTCAACCATCAAGGAAGATGAGTGATGAATAATTTGTGAAAATGGACTTGATTGGGATCAAGGACCTGAATTATTGCCAGTTATGAAAGCATCAGCTTGAGAAGTGATATAAGGACTCAAATAAGTTCATTTAAGCTGAGGGAATTTAAATATGTAATTCAAGATGTAAACAATACCATGAAAAATAAAATGTGCTTGCTTTTAGAGAAATGTTAGTAAATGCAAGGGTCAAGGTTTAATATCAGATAGATCAGATTTTTATAGCCAGTTATTCATTTCGTTCATGATAAATCACATGTACTGGGAAGAAACTAGCCAGCCAGGTTTCTAGCCACAATGGTGTCATGTACCAAACGTGTATGTGGAGTTGGATTCGAAGTTTCTTGGGGAATCTTTCTGCTGTTTTTTAATCCATGTTTTGTATGTGTTACAGAAAGGATGCCCTGCTTGAGAAATCAGATTTACTAATCTGCATTTAAATTCTTTGCTCTGCTCTCAGCTTCATAATATTTCATTTTGCAGGTGCTCCATGTGTTTTATCTTTTCTGTCAATTCATAAATCATATGGAAGCAATATGGCTTCCTGTTTACTACCCATCACAGGAAGAAAAGGACGATCCAAAGCTATATGCTAGTAATGTCCGACGGTTGATGGCCCGTGAGGTATGCACTTCCCTTGATGTTGGATATTGAACTGTTTGAGACAATTTAATAAATTCTTGGTAGCCCACTCTTCTATTTCTAAAGTTTTAAGTGGTACCGTGACCTAAAATTATGCAGTCTGAAGTCATCACTACAGTTTCATTTGAATTTTTAGCATTCTATCCCAAATTGCCGCATATATCAACATTTGTTTGTTATGGCTGCAGGGTAATTTAACAATGTCAGATATTGGACTTGCTGAGAAGCGAATATATCATACTGCTCTGAATGGTAATATTAGCCTGCCTAGTGTTTTGCATCAGAAAGACGATTGATAATTTCATGGCCTCGCTTCCAACTGATAAATCTATTCTGAGTTGAGCTTTTCACTTTATGTTGGGTATTTGCTCATAAATAACAGTCAAAACACGGTGGCAACACTCCCACCATTTAGAATAAGAAAAGGATGCTGGTATTGACTTGTAAACTCTTGCGTGGGGATTGTGGCCATTGAACATGGTTTTAAATGTGTTGGTGGGGTGTATGTTTGCCAAAGAACCTAGTTTAAGAAATTTCTGGGATTCTGTATCGTGTTATGTATGCATTTCTCATTGAGTTTACTGAATGCCTTGAAACCCTTTTTAGATATAACGTTGCATTTGTTAAACTGAATCATCTGTTTCCTGTCCCTGCAGGTTTGTTTTGACAATGCTAATTCGGATTCGCCATCTGTATATTTTACTCTATGGTTCTAAGATTAACAGAACAGAAAAGATTAAAATCATATAGGAATCATGAGCAGAATAGTATCTCTTATGTCTTCAATTGTATTCACCTGAATTTTCTGGAATTGCCGTGGAGCTGGACTGGCGATTACAAAGAAAGCCATTTGCCTTTTGATCCCACATTTTTTTCGTTTAGGGGCAATCTGGGAGATTAATTTGTTCCACGAAGAGATGGCTCGGGCTCATCACTACCACCGCTTCTTCAAAGATTGATTTGATTTCACAGATCAAATTGCGTACTTGATTTGTATTCGATGACTTCAGATTTCTGGTGAGGGACGAGCAAGCTTCCCTTCCCTTTTAGAGCTATTTCTCTGCCACAAAAATTCTCAAACTCACACTATTATATACAAACTGAAAGAACAGACAACCAATTAATTCGTCTGCCAAAAAAATGGCCGCTGGACATAAAAAATGGATCAACCACAGCTCACTGCTCACAAGGGTGCGCCAATGGTTATCTAGCTTTTTTCTCAGACGAGGGAGAATTTAACTAGCATTTTAATGGTTTGCAACAGCAGACTGGTACTAAAACCACCACACACAAAAACCATTCATGTCAACAAGCCCGCCCATTAACCTTATAGGGTTTGGTCGCTAATCAATATGCAAAGACATCAAATCCCCAATGAACGCTAAAGAGACCCTCGAGTAGCTTTCATCTTTCTTTCAAGGAACCGTTCATGGACCTTCTCAATTCCCATGGCAGGCAGCCTTTCAAAGGTGATTGTAGCAGTAACGAAGAAGTTGACAGCTGCTTTTGTCGCATTGAGATTGAAGACAAGCAACTAAAAGCACTTCTTAACCTTCTCTTCTCACTGTCATAAGGTTGGCCGCAGGGGTCATGTCGCACAGCAGATATTTTAAGGGATTGAGGAAGCACGCAGTTGCATATTGAACCTACCATGGAGTTAAGTACTTGGGAATTAAAGACAATCATCATAAACTCTTTGAAATCATGTAATTTAAGAATTAAAGACAACTTTATTTTGATCAACATAAACACTGCGCACACTAGTAAGTTGAAGTCATGCAACATCAGGATAAACTTTCTTGACATGATTAACCATCATTTTTTTGGAGAGCCCTGTTTTCAAGCAAAATGCCTCTTTGTTTTAATAAGGGGCCTTCTAGTGCGGAAATAGACTTTTCCTGCAATTACCACTTGCATAATGTAGAAGTCTCGCCGGAAAAGCGGTTCCAGGGTGAAGGGTTATGCCAGAAACACCCAAAAACATTGATCCTCGACCCCAAAAGAATTGATGCCATAGAAATTCTTCTGCTCGGGGGCTGGAAAGTCTACGCATCATCTTCTTGTGACATTTACAGTAAGGTAAGTCCCTGACAGAGGTTATTGATGCTAAAGGTTGCAAGGGACGTAAAGTTGGACATTGACAGAGTGCATGCATCTTAGGCTACCATGGTAGAAACTAAAAGATCACGGTAAATTATTGAGATTTCCTCTCTTTTTCCCCAACTTGCAAACAGAACCTGTCTACATTCCAGCAAGGTAACGAGCTGATATTTAGAAGAAAAATTACTTTAGAATTGAAAGTCTCGGTTACATAAATTTAGATGTTTCTGATGATGATTTCATGCAGTAATTTCTCAATCCTGTACTTGGTAGATGGTTATATGAGAAAACATACCTATTTTTGCCAGTCGATTTACCCACTTTGGAATTGGTTTCCCAGTCAGCTTGTAACAAATATCCTTGCAGAAATGGTTGCAATTCTTAACAATCAAGTGATATGTATCACCATGATAGCTCGCAGCATACCGCTCCATGAATTCTCTAACCTGAATGGAGTCCAGGCATGTGGTCCCGATGAATATGGACCTCCTGAACTTGAAGCCTGGGCACTGCCGAGGCTCGACCTCGAAAACACCACTTGTTGGGTAGTCATGGGCTCCAAACGCATATTCTACTCCATGAACTGCACAACAGTGGAAGGAGGGCGATGAGAAAATTTGAAACCTGAACTAACTTGAAACTGGAGAGTAATATAAAAGAAGAAAATACAGCAGGATAGGGCTGTAACCCACTGCTTGCCAATACAGTAATTTTATTCAACGCAAAAGGATTGCACTGGTTTGGCTGGAGGTTGCTAAGATGGATAGCATGAATGAGAAACTAGATTAACATATCTGGGAACTCAGTTTTTCTCATTATAGGCAAAGGGCAGCATGTTTTTTATGAATTGATCTCCAGACTGGAACGTAAAATCACTAGACGTGAGGTACATGATTGGAAACCATGAGTGAGAGCCGTACCTTCCACACCAGAGTGAAAGATGCCGAGGCCTGCCCAATAGGCGTAGCCATTCATTGGCGTCAAGTCATACACATTGAGATAAACAGGTGTATCGCCTGGACCATAGCTAGCTGATCTTGGTTTAGGAAACAAACAAAAGCGGGTGGCTGATTTGCCGTTCGAACAAAGGGGTATGATGGATTTCCATACTTTCTTTGATCCAAGTTTCATATTTCCTTAAAGCAAGACCAAATTTCAACTAATGCTGGCCCCCAAACTGCAGAGACAAGAAAAAAAAATCAACAGACTTTTCTTAGACTAAAAGGAAAAGCAACTTCTGTAACAATTAACACGACAGCTTTTTCTAAGAGATCACATCAAGATCCAACTTAAAATCACATCATATCCTTTCCAGCGCCTCATGAGACAAAAGAGCCCTGCATCTTGTGGATCATGTCCATTTCGCAACAGAAGTCTAATTTTTTATGGCTTGATTTCTAGTTGATCAAACTGAATCTTAAATGCAATGAGTTTTTTGGCACTGCAGTACACGGTTTTCCCTTCTAACTTTCAACTGTTATGCCATTATTTAAAAATCACAAACGGTCAATCGGAACATTAGTTTATTTTAGGTGATCTTTTCAAACATAATATAATAACATATTGCAGAATCTGCAGCCTTGTCAACATTATAGCAACCATCTGCAACACCAGTTGGCTGTCATCCTAAATAATTAGCAAAAATAGTGGTATACTATTTTGCACAATCACAGTCATCATGAGATATGATCAAACCTTTATGCGAATCTTGGTCCAACTAGTTATGGCTGGCATACCAATGCATTTAAACCAAATATGCAAAACTCAAAGTTGCATAAAATCCAGTGACTTTTAACTCCAAAATTCAAGACATGAATTCTCCACGATAAAAGGGACTAAATATTACCAAATTCATTGGCAAGAGAATCTGGATTTGCAGCATGGCTTTAGATTTTAAGTTGAAGTGAAGTTGTTTCAGATCTAGTTGAAATCATAAACAGTAAAAGCAAAGCAAATGTAATAGATCAAACAAAAACCAGTGATCTTAGAGAGCATCCAAAAAAACATTACACGAGCTAGAATTATACAGTTTGGCTTAATTTTTAAGTAAATAATTCCAAGTATTCATTGAAAGAAAGAACTTTGGGATCCAACAATATCTACAATGACGCAAGAAGACAGCAAGATCGCTTCTTTTTTCAGATTTCTCTCAAAGTTTCCCAGGAATCAAGCGAACCCTTAAATGAGAAGCACTTAAAACAAAGAAAATAGAAAAGAAGAGAGGCAGAGTAAAAAAAATACAAGAAGAAGAACTCACAGATTTGCTATCAGAAAAGGTAGCCATTAGAGCCCAAGAAGACCACCTTTCTGAAGCATCATTGGAATGAAAACCTCTTTGAATTGAAAGTAATAATATTACTCCCTAAACAAGAAAAGAGAGGGCCTATCTGATTCTGAAACACTCTTTGCTGTCTGACACAAAACAACAAGAGGGCTACAAATTATAAGAAAATAATATAGCACCAACACAGGATGGCAAGGTAAAAGCCAGCAGTCAATTTCCCTCTCCCTCTCTACTGTGTACGCGTCTAATACTATAATGACACTGGTACCATTAGCTTAGGTGCTAAATTACAAGGGAAGCTCTGTTGAAGGAGATAGAGGAGGTGGTTATTTAGAAGAGGAGGAGAGGAAAATGGATAGATTATTTTAATCCCTTCATATTTAGTAATTCCTCATTTTGATCCCTATTAAATCTTTTCTTGTATTAATACCGAAAGTTCCAATGCAACCCCTAGCTGATGTATAATGAAGTCGGTATAAAATAGATAGACGACCTACCCTAAGTCATTACCCGGTTGATGGTTGTCATTGTCCGGTCAACTCAATTCCATTACAAAGCTGTTTTAGACAAACTATTTAAGTGATGGTGATCAGTTATTTTTATTTTTTATATAAAATATATATATACAGAGTTTTTTAATAAATATTTTTTATATAAAATATATATATATATACAAAGTTTTTTAATAATTTTTTATAATTAAAAAATATAATTTTAGATTAAAAATCTCAGGCACACGTATAATAAAATAAATTAAAAATTATATATGTGAATAAATAAATAAAAAGTTATTAATAGCACCTAAACATAAAACTTGAAAAATCAAAAAAACAGATATATAGACTAGGATATTTATTTAAAAACAGATATATAGACTAGGATATTTAATCTTAAAAAACAGGATATTTATCTTATTGTATTTGCTAAATTTCTTTTATTTAAGCAAATGATAATGAAAATAAAAATAAAAATAAAATTAATTAAATAAATAAAATAGCAAAAAAAACATTATGCAAGTTTTCTTATATTGGAAATATTATATGAAAAAAAAATTCATGTAAAAAATAAAGTTCATCCAAGAAAAAGATTTAAAAAAATATATGAATAAAGAAAATTTTCAAACTTAAATGAATAAATAAAAAAATAATCATCATTTATTAGAAAATCTCCAAATAAAATGAAAAAAATAAGGGTATCGATTTAAATATAAATTAAAAAAATTAAAGATAAATCTGAAAAAAATAATCCTTAATGTTTTTTTAAAAAATAGAGCCAACACATTAGGCCCATTTTGTCATGGCTCATCAGTGGGCTTTGCTCTAGAAGGTCTATTTGATTGGACTCTTAATTTTTTTTGTTTGTAAATAGGTTCACTTTGACTTTTTTTTTAAAAAAAATTGGATAATGTGTCATCTGATATATCAAAATTCTGACCATTATGATCATCGAAAAAACAAAGCTTGAGTTTTTTACTTGAAAACTCATCTCAATCAAAATCACTGTAAAAATCATGATAAACCTATCTATAATCTCAAAGAATCCAAACTCCAGAGACAAAAAAACTAAAATCAAATCAAGTTTAAATTTTTTTTCATAAATTTTAAAGGTAAGAAAACACATAACATAAACTTTCATCTTCAAATTGAACTATTTGATACAAATATTGTATGTTTTTGTAACTCAAATTAGTTTCAATAGCACCTTTTTATCTGTCACTAGAATTCAGTGACTTTTTTCTCTCATCTCTCAGATAGAGAATAATTTTTTTATATATAAAAAATGAATTAGAAAAATATCAAAATAATAAAATTGTATAATTTACGTGGTTTTTAAAACTTAAGGACCAAATTGATCTTTGATTATAACTATATCAGTAAAAAAATTGATGATCAAATTAAAAAAATATATAAAATTTTGTGCAGCCTATCTACAATAATAATCTATGAAATGATAAACAATAGAGCCTTGCATAATAAAAAACCAATGCCTTCTTGAGTGAGACTTAATCAATAAAAAAAAATATTAAAATTTACTTGATTATGTTTTGCTCATATGTGATCAAGTTAATTTAGCATTTAGTTGACTATTAGATCACTCAAATTTAATTTGTTAGCATCAAGATAGTTAAAAAACAAACCTATTCTAGTTTTCAAGATCATATTCTTACTGAACTCACGTAACTTAAGTGGATTTAATAAATATAAATCAATACTCGTTATTTTTCTTACTTTTTAATCCCAAATGATTTTATTCCATAAAATATTTGAAAATTACTTAACAAAAAAGATAAAAGGAGGTCATTTCAATGTTGTTGTGTCGTTAAAAGTTACATCAAGAACATATTTGGTATTATGATCAAAACACTAACTGTCAAAAAAATTAAGAATTAGTTGTGTTGGTGATTTTAAATTATTTTGATGTACTGATATTAAAAATATTTTTTTAAAAATATCTTAATGTATTTTTTAATAAAAAACTTTAAAAAACACTTGATGTATTTTTTAATAAAAAACTTTAAAAAACAACCATTATCGTAATGTCAATTAGGCTCTGAAATTTTTTGAAACCCTTGATATCAATACTGAAACATCTTAGACTATGAGAACCGAAATGGAACACCAGAGAGTGCGTGGGGATCAGAATATAGTTTATCCCAAAAAAAAAAACAAATGAGGATGACAATATGACATGTCTCTAATCTTTTTTTTTTCTTTTTTCACAGTGCCGTGTACGTGGTCCAGCTTAGGCACGAATTTCTACCACATCTTTTATCTCAAAATTCATGTACACATCAGTCAGTGTAGTTGATTTTTTATTTAATACTATAGTATTTGAAATAAAATAATAAATCATGATTAAAGAAAAGTAAAAAGTGAACCTCGCCACCTATAGATAGAAGATGGTGAAATGATTGTGGGATGGCGAGTTAAATGGGATTGAGGCCGTCTGTCATCCAAAAGAAATCCTAATCTCATCATCCCTGATTTTTAAAGCTAATTATATTATATTATAAAAATTAATTATCAATCAACCTAGGCATTAACAGAGTTGATCTTATCATACGTGATCATTTCTTCCTTGTGGAATTTTATCCTGAAAAGACATGAATGGCTACGGTAATGATTAAACTCCTATTTCCTTCCACGACAAACAATTAGAGTGCCATTGTCTTAATGCAACATCACTCTGTCTTGTGGGTGCCGATTGATCAAGGTGTAATAATTTCGTTGCACCTGATTTTGCTGGGATTGATCGAGAACATTACCACTTTTAATCCCGACATTGCGGTTTAACTGTATTCTTTTGATAAATTATTACCTGTAATTAATTTCTTTAGGTGTTTTTTAAAATTGTTTTTTAATTTGAAAATAAATTAAAATAATAATAATTTTTTATTTTGAATATAAACACATCTAAATTATTGAAAAACAAAAAGTAACATGCTCTTAAACAACTATTATAATAATCAAATATTCATTGAATTTTGCTCATACACCTTTGATCTTTTAACACTTTTGCTTGACTCGTAACCATAATCATAATTGTTAGTAAATCTGCTCTCTGTATAACTGTAACCATCCTGTATGATTTAAATAAAAAAGAAATCTCACATAAGAATCAGAAACACGCTATTTTAGATGGGATAGCACTGTATCCAGAAAAAAAAAAAAACATGTCTTGGCATGCACTTGCCATATATAAAAAAACGAAACAGAAGAAGTTAAATCCTGACAAAGACAGAAGAGGGGATTCCAATTCTGCGCACGGGTGCAGGAAGATTTTTAACCTGAGGTGCTTCCTGAGAGGTGAAATGTTTGCAAGATTATTATGAGCCACGAATTCTGACACTCAAGTCTAATTAAGCTATGATTATTCTATGTACAGCGGGTTTGCAAGTTGACATGTCGTTTTCCCAAAATGGGTCAGACGCAGCAGAGAAATGTTTTCTACAATTGGTGGATGCGAGAGGTGAATCTTCCTGGCAAGATTGAAAAATCTTGCATAAATATCCATGTATTCGAGAGTGATAATGGCCATGGCATTCCCACATTGATTTTAGGTCAAGAAGAAATGATGATGGATATTTAATTTTGCTCTTGATTCTATCAGAATTTATTGACTTGAAGATTAACTTGTGATTCAATCAAAAATCAAGGTGATTTCATACCAGAATCAGAATTCCAAGCTAATTTTTTAAATTATTGACTTGAAAATTTTTAAAATTAATATCATTTTATTTTTATTTATTTTTAAATATTAAAATGATATCTTTTGAATTAATCTGAATTCCAAGCTAATTTTTTCACCAATTTTCAGAGAGCTAAAAAGTAACTCTTGAGCAAGTTATTAAACCTGATCTTATATGTTTTTTGTTGGGGTTGTAAGGACTCAATCATGACATCTTCGATTAGAAAACTGTGGTGATTTCTAGATGCAAAGATCCAATTAAAAAAACTCTCCTGCTTTAGTAATGAAATTGATAAAATAAATTAAATGGATAAGAAATCGAGATGGAGGCTTTGAACCAGGTAACAGGTCAAGGTATAAAAATGAGGTTTTTCAGGGAGAAAACACCTTCGAGATCTAACAACCTGGGATCAATTTACACGCTACACAAACCACGAAAGACCCTCGAATTGAGTCACGAGTAACAGGCCAGAGCCAATTATTGCTGGGAAGCAAATAAATATTACAGCTAGGCAGCCATAGCTTCCATTCCCAAGGTCCTCCACTATTTTACTGGCTAGATATTGCAGACGTGTTGCAAAGTCAACTTGTATAAATACTTTATATTTCCACACTCCAAGTATATTTATCAACCTCGATGGTCCCCCTGTTAATCGGCTTGGAAACCCATAACTTCGAAGCCCGATTCAGCCTTAATTTATCCTTGAACTAGATTAGTAATTGATGCCGGTGGACCTAAGCGATGCAGCCTGGCTTGATACAGTATCGTTTTAATTTTTTATCTAAAATAATTACGATTCCATGTAGGAAATACCACCAGCACTTCCTCGGAGAACTAAGTATACACCACCGATATTAATTGAAGCTCCTACAGAGGAACAGCTGGCCATTTCAAGCCGCTTTGAAAGCCTTCATGAACATCTTGTGTGATGGACTTGGCGTACTTCCCATGACCAGAATGGCTCAATAAATTATTTTTATGTAACAAACGCATTAAATTCACAGAAGAGAAGTCGAATACTGCTCATAAATATTAAATACTTGCTGTGCCCGCCCAACAAAAGGAAAGATGGGTGGGTAGGTGGGTAATCTTGCAAATTGGAGTAAATAATAGCAGTGACAGATTTTACATCACGTGGAAAAGGCAAGTGTTGTCTCTGTCAAATATTTTAAGCAATGCTGCAAGGAGAATTTATGTCGCTCAACTGCCATTACAGGTAAATGCAAAAAATGTTCGAAGCAACCATCCAGGTGGTGGTCAAGTGGTAAAAACTTGAGATCAAAGGGTTTACTTTCTCTGTGATCTCAGGTTCGAGTCCTTTGAAGCAACCATTCAGGTGGTGATTAAGTGGTAAGAACTTGAGATCAAAAGGTTTATTTTCTTTGTGATCTCAGGTTCGAGTCCTTGGTTGCTCATATGATGGTCACTGGATGCTTACATGATCATTAACTTCAGGGCCCATGGAATTAGTCGTGGTGCGCGCAAGTTGGCCCGAACATCCATGTTAATCAAAAAAAAAATATTTGAAGCATCGAATTCGAATACCGTCAATTCAAAGTATACACTCCTCCTTGTTGCTTTTCTTGAACTAGTTAAAATGGAACAATTAATTCTTGGATGGTGACATGGGGGTAAAATTTTTGATAAAATTTTACTCTCAGAACGACAGATTAGTTCTACACTATACTCAACTTTTCTCGCGATTTCAACTTATGTTTAGCTTGCTATTAAGATGTTTTACACAGTCAAAAAACTTTTCTTGAAATCTTTCACGTAATAGAAAATCACTGTGAGCACAAGTAGACAAATAAAAAACACAATTTATAGAAAAACACTCCTAATCTTTATTAATATCAAAATAAAAAATACACGAAATTAATTATGCGTGCCATGTATAATTCTGCTTGCAGGCTCCATCTCCTTAGTTCTCTTTTATCACAAGAGAACATGGAAGTTACATATAAAATCACCATCCTTAAACAAATCTATATAACTGGTCAGTTTGGAAAAAACAGTAATGACAAAAAAACTACCTCCAATTGCCTTGATTTATCACCTCATAAACCTTTAAGCCAATCAGCTAGTTGAACCCTCTCTACTAACCTAGTTGTGCTTCTGCAAGTTTTGGACATTTCTTTATTTAAGTTTGAAGTCATGTTGAATAGACTGTCGGTGTATGCACACACCCATTATGCATTACTGTTGAATTTGCTTCTACCTATGCATGATGTTGATATCCTAACAGTGTTTTCGTTTGCGTGCCCTCACATCTAGGACTGTGATAAATGATATCTAAATTAAACTATACATAGTTACAAGACTTCAATTGTTGGATTAAGGGTTAATTTACCTTAACTAAACCTTTGATTTTTTCTGTGAAAAATCTAAAATAAAATTTTTAAACCGATTTAATCTAGTTTAACCTTTAAATTTATGAATTATCAACTTTATTTACCGGACTTTATTTAGTTTTGATTATTAAACTTCACTAGGAATGAAAATCTAACTTAAAAACTTAATTGATATCAACACGACATATCATGAATGAATGAGTATATAATGAATAATTATTTTAGTTAAGGGGTAATATGGAGGATATGAATATCCTAAGACCCTTCCAAATCTAACATGAAGTATATATTTATATTATATGAATATACTCATAGAATATTTAGATTTTTTTAATATAATATATACATATTTATAAATTAAATATTAAATAATAAATAATAGTCAGATAATAAATATTGAGATTCAATATCTAATTTATAAATATAATTTTTTATTTAATAAATAAGATAAAAAAAAAACTTTGATAAGTAGATATCCACCCTTAAAGTTGGGACCCTTACGACGGAATCTACTAGCAATTCAAATTTTCTACAGGAACAAGTAACTTTTATCGGCTAACTTTTGATGTAGATCCAACGTCGGCTGTCCGGGAGGTGTCAGAAGGCGGACAAAGTAGCTAAAGGAGCCTCTGGCGAGGTAGAAATTATTGCAGAGAGTTTTGTGATGCTTTAAGAAACGACAGTTTACTTCCAAAACAAACATATGGAAACGGCAGGCATGTTACGTGCACAGAATAGAGGCTGTGGTGCCACCTTCGGTTAACTGTGATGTTTCAGCTTTCAATTCGTTAGCCAATTAGACTACCTCACTGGGTCCAATAAGAACACAAAAGTCCAGCCCAATTAGAGATGTGTCAGCTCTGTCTGCCCTTCACCTGTTTGTGTCAGCCATGTTATGTCTTGTCTCGTCCGAGATAATATTGTTATTGATTATTCGAAATCACATTCTATATAGATTTTTTTTATAAAAAAATTAGTATAAGTCAAGAGTAGCAAAATACCATAGATATTAAATCCAATTCGAAACACACCAAGTTCAAGGATCGGGTCGTAGTTGAAGGTTATATATGAGGAAGGTTGCCTCGTGATCCGTCAACATTGAACAATTTTTATTTTATTTTTAATCTTAATGCAGCCTCGTTTAATAAAAAGAAATATGAATTTTTTTAGCTACACAACCCATATCAAAGTCTTAGTCGATGAATCATCAAATTAACCATTTGATAGATACTCGTTTCAACCATGGTTAAATAAATATTTTTTTTCATATGCATAAAAGGAGGACTCTATAACTAAATTCAATTTCAATTTCTTAATGTTTAGCGATCAAAATACTCTAAGACACTGCAGCACAACGCACAGGCAGAATAGCTACCCACAGTATGATGTTCCCACAAATATAATTTTTACCATGTACACTTGAATAAACAAGCATCTCGATGTCCTTGATCCATGATAACTTACTATCTGCATTCCTTGGTCGCACCTCACACTGCTCCGAGTGAGTTGAAATGAGTCCATGCTTCCTGTGTGCATGCAAGGAGTGGATAAGATTTTTTTAGATGAATTTAGAATGGCGATGATTTCTTTAAGTTAAGGAATTAAAAATTAACTGGATATTACCTGCAAAATATCGAAGATTTTTTCTGCTGTGTATTTTTGATGCGAGGTAGCACCTTTCTGCTGTAGTTTATCAGGGTGTAGACAGAGTAGGGCCTTTTGATATGTTCTTTTCACTGCATTTCCTTCAACTATATCAACAAGAGGCACAGGATTCCACCCACTTCCAGACCAAAGGACCTGTGAGTGCAGCCAATATCAGTTTAAGAGGCAGACAGTTCCAAGTAAGTCGGATCCAAAAGATTCAACTAAATAGTCAAAGCCTAAAGATATGACCCGTTACCGACCCGAATAAGTTGAGCCCTAGTTGTCTTGGCCAAACTTGGTCTAAACCGGCTGGCTCAGCACCAAGGAGTTTTCTTTTTTTAAAAATAAAACAACATGGTTTTGGACAAAAATGATAGAACCAATTGACCCACAACCAAGTAACTCGGACACTTTTTTAGGTCATATCCAACCGGAACTGACAACTATGCCTGGAACGGGATGAAATTCAATTTACTAGGTTTAGTCAGGAATCACCATAAAACCACTTTAAATAGAAAATGCTGTAGATCTGATGCAATGGTAATTAAAGTGCAGATAAAAGAATGTGCACTCTAACCAAAAAAAAAAAAACTCGCAGCACAAGCAAGAGTAGAAGGCAAACTCACATATTGTAAAGTTGACAACAGGGAGCGTATGTTGCCTTCCTTTCCTTTCGACCACTTCTGTATTTTATCATCAATGACCTGCAATGTATGATTTCCAGTTACTATTTCCTGGTAAAGTTGGAAGAAAAAATGGAGTGTCTTTGTCAACTTTCTTCCTTACTTGGATCTCCTCATGGTTATCGCTGGTTTGGAGCTCCCTTTCCTCATCCTGGGCTAATTCTGTAATCTGTCCACAACGCAAAGTATACCAGCTCATTAGTCATTTCAGGAGGCAATTAAATAATCCTAATACCTGCTAAAAAAAAAGATGGCGGAATGCTAATGTTTATATACACAATCACATACCAGGAGGAAGGACATATCTGTATCGACAACGGTTGATTCTAAGCCACCAGGAATGTCAGCTGTCAACAATGTTTTGATGCATTACATATCACATTTTTTAAGAATCATTAACAAAGATTTCAAATCCTTTTTGTATTATGAAGTAGTAAGTTTAGTAAAAGAAGGTCATTCTAGCAAAATTGCATAGCAATTGGAATATATGAATCATGATTCAGATGAACATGTAATATGCCATGCTGCTTCACCATTTTCATCCTAATTGATATTAAAAAAAACAAAATCATTTTTCCAGGTGGATGGTATCCAAAATCTCCCAGTCAACAAGCAGCAATTAAAATAACATATAGCATCAATTAATATCAAAATACCTGCAGTTGACACTGAGCTATCCTTACGTCCAGAAGAAACGCTTTCGGACCCAAGGTTGTTCGCCTTTGTCTCGAGATGTTGTTTCTCAGATCGCTTACGACATTTGTTCACCTGGAGATTACAATAAAAGTTGAAAATCTCAGGTCCACTATGAGTGTATCAACTGTGCTAATATTTGACAAAATAAAATGCAAGATCATTTTCAGCTGAGTACCAGGATGGAAGCATCTGGCATGTTTTTATTGTTAACATTACGCGAGTGCATTTTCTCATTTCTGGTATCGTCAGAATTGAATTTTATTCTTTCCTTTTGTCCCGAACTCTGATGTTGAGAGTCATTAAGATCAAAGTTGGGTTTTTCTGAACCTGCTCGATTGAAAATTTTAACAAATTCCTTGACCTTTCCCCGAAGTCTGTTCTTCTCAAGGCTGTCTCTTGATTTTGTTGGTGGATATTGAAAGTCAGCTTTATCCACTTCTACATTATTCGCTGTAGTTCTTTTCTCATCTTGATCCTTTCCGTTTTCACTAACATCAAAAACTGCAGATGGTTTTTTGGTGCTTTCTGCCTTTCTTTCTTTCATACCATTTTCTCTAGTCATCTCATCAATATCTGCCAGAGAAAATATGTGTGTTATTAGAGATATCACATGAGAAGGATACTTGATATAGATTCCAGAACATGACTTACATTGCTCATCATCATTCTCGGATAACAGGGTACGTAGTGGTTTTAACTTGGTCTTGCGATCCTCAAGTGTAAGTACAGAAATTCGTTCCTTTGTTTTTTCAGATAAGTCCATTTCAGGACCAGCTTCAACAATCACTTGATGAGTGCTTGGAGTATCTAACTCAGGTACAGGAAAAATTGTGTCCACAACAATCTGACACGGTTCTACTTCACACTGAATGCTCTTATCAAAGAGGAAGCGATTATCTTGTTGATTAAGCTCAATGTGACTACTGAATGAGGGAACATCGATATCATGTTGATTTGCTGATCGTAATTCTCTTGCTATACCCTCGCTTGCTATCCATCCATTAGCACTTGAACATCTCTGAAGTTCACAATTCTCATCCAGTCTTGATTTGGTAGCTCCTCCAAGGGAAATCACAAAGGGTATTCCTTTGCTTGCCCACTTAGATATAGAAAAATGAGACTGGTTTCCATTTGTTGGAACATCAGAACTATCTGAATCACTTTTCAAATTTGTGTTTGTGTCTGTTTCTTCATGTTTGGTCGAGTTTGATGACTCCTCGCTGCTAAGATATAGCTCCTTCAATAAAGTGCTTTGCCTAGAGATATCATTAGTCAACTCGTCTCTAACATGGTCCGTTTGGCTTGCAGAATGTGCATAATTGCCTACGCCATATGAAGCACCATCCTTATTTTTGTGAATGCTATGGGCGCTAGAGTTAAATGTTGGCAAGTCTGTCCGCTTACTCAGTTTGGCAGAGAGGCTGCAAAATTAACAGTACAGGATTTGAGATTCTGGGATGTATTTGTTCAAAAGACACTCAAACCCAAGCAGATAATAGTGCAGATAAGAACAATTACTTGAACAAAGAATCAATAACCACTACCAGAGACCACATTAATCCGAAATACATTTGAAACAACCTAGGCAATGACATATCATCTCTTCTGATTTGTATAAAGGATTCTTAATTGGTGATTTATGTTGAAAAAACCATCTAAATTATAATATCTAAGATGTACAGAAATAAGCAAAGAGTGAATCCAAAACCTGAATTGTGCAGGCAGAGATAAACTCCAGGGATCAGCTCTAGGTGGCAGCTGTCCAGTAGGGCTTTGGACTCTTGAACCTGGAGTTGAAGAAAGTGAATCAAAGTCATGCTTCTTCGGAGAAGAACTCAAAGACTTATTGCCTCTGAAAATATCATCAAAGAAATCATTTCTTGGATATCGCCTTCTATTGACATTTTCATCTCCAAACACTGGCTTCTCATTTAAACCCGACAAACTGTTGCGAGACAACATGGTATCAAAATCACTACTTCTTGAAACAAATGAATCTGTCGTTTCAGAAAAACTAGATCGCACCTCCTGAAGCGACGATCGCCTCGGTGGGCCACCAAAAACATCTATAAAATCAATATCAGAGTTTCCAAGTTGGCTATTTGAAGAAGAGCCTGGATGGTTTATAGTTTGTCTTTGAAGATTATAACCGAACAGAACACTTTCTCTCTGAGAAAACCTCTCCATTTCAACCAATAAACAGCACGAAGCACCCACAAAACCAGTTCAATTCAACTAGACAGTAAGAATTTAAACAAAAACTGGCGTGAAATTCCTATCCATCTTTTTGATCATGGAACTGCAAGTCCTGAAGAGGGTTCTTGTTGTTGAATCAAGAACTTGCAGAGATTTTTCTTTTGAGAATCATGATATTGAGGTATGGAGGATGAAATACATACAACCAATAACGTGGGAGATTTTGAAAGGGAGACAAAGGTGGGGCTAGTGGGTTCCAGTTGTTGAATCAAGAACTTGCAGAGAGGATCATGACATTGAAGCATGGAGGATGAGATACACACAAACAATAATGTGGAAGATTTTGAAAGGGAGAATACAAAGGTGGGGCTAGTGGTCTTTGAAGCCAAAATAAATGTCGTCTGCTTGTGGATATTAAGGAAGAAAATTCCATACAGCAACCAAAGTATTAGGCAATCTTTGTCGTTAACCTGAGTTTTTAGAAATTAATTCTTGGTGACCGTTAAACTCAGATTTTTTGTGATCCCACGTTGTTATGGGTTCGTTTTCTACAGCCTCCGTTTGGATAACAGCCTGCTATTTCTTGCATGCAATGAGTGATGACATGAACTTCTTTTGCTCCCTCCTCCTGTCCATGTAAATTTTAAAAAAAAATCAAATTAAAATTAGTTGCCAATCTTGTTCACTAAAATTCGATCATTATTGCAGCTGATGTTATTAAAATTGACCTACAAAATAGAATAGGACAGAAACAGAGATATCAAATAAAAATATTTTTAAAGTAAATTCTTATACTCTTAAAACAGAAATTGAGAAAAACATGTCCCTTCTATCCATATAATTTTTGTTTGTTTCTGAAAGAGTAACTAAATACTAAGGATTGAACTGGGTTATGATCGGTTAGCCTTGGGATAACACTTTTACACGGTAACCCAGCTAATTTGCCGTCCATGCATGAAGGTAGGTGAGCAGCCGCTGATTGACTATTAGGCAACGAATATCAGGAGGTTCTGCCAAGAAAAGCCAAGACAGAAATCTAACCCTCCAGGAAAAAAGAATAACAGTAGACCTGATTCTGGTTTATGCTAGCAAACCAATCGCAAAAGGAACCCCTCCTTAGCATCTGGCAATAATAGATACGGGATCCACTGCACCTCGTGATGAGATAGTTATAGTCCTTGCGAAACTAAATTTAGTGTGATAATCTTTTGTTTCTTTCTCTCAAAGGGGTGCGAGCCAAGAAGTACGAGGATCCTGGTTCATGGTCCTTGCCGGTCCAGTCACATTGTAGCCAACCACCGAAGTCATCGATTCCAACTCCACCAGGATGCAACAAAATGTCACTCTAAAACATAATCAAATACCCAGAAACTATCAAAGAATAGAGCTTGCAAGTTGCAGCAAAATCTTTTATCATGAAAATGACAAGCCTCATCATATTGTTGGCGCACATTACATAGCACAGATGAGACCAGTGGGGGTGCTCCAATGAAACTTAATTTCAAGAACACACAAAGTTCTGAAGAAAAAAGAAGGAAAAATATCTCACATCAGCTACACATAAAATACAAACCAAAATCTCAAAGAAAATCAAGGAAAAAGTTTATCTCACATTTCTCTTCAAAGGTAATAATAGATTTAAACTAACTGTATCATGTGGAAAGTCTAAATCTATTGTGATCCTCTCTGTAGTTGTATGAGGTTCCTACCAATCAGAACCATCAGGGAAAGGATCCAACGCATCTTGCTTCCCATTAACATAGAACTCCACAACTGCTTGCATTCTTCGAAGTTTATCAGGGTGATAGTTTACATGAACAATTACTGGCTTCAATGTTTTTAGAGCAGGATCTTTCCTTACTGTCTTGAAAAGGACCTTACTATTCATAAACAAAAACATATCCATTGTTCTTTTTGCAGCATGGAGTCCATCATACCCAGGATGTGAAGGGGAGAAAAGCTCCTCGTTGAAAACTGCTTGGTCCCATGAGTTAGGCTCCCGAGACAAACGACCAGCCACACGATCCAAAAGCTCAATGGAAGGAAGTGTAGGCCTTATATAAAAGAATCCAGAATTGTAAACCCATATTCTCATAGTATGAGCATAACGAGCCCAACCCATGGCAGGTTCATTAAAGACATCATCAAATCCATAAGCTGTCATATTATCATGACCATCAGACATGGATTCAACATCTGAATCCCGATAAAGATGATCAAATGGGTTCTGCAAGTATATTATATCAACATCTGACAGAAGAACACTGTAACCCAGCTGCAAAAATTCCCTCAAAATACGGAACTTCAATCCAGAAACAGCATGGTTTCCTCCTGTTCTTGCAACTGAATCAATACCGCTATCTGGATCCCTCTTATACACTGGAACATCATTCGACTTGCAGAAATCTACAATATGGTCATCTAATGCTACAACAAGGTAATTGCGTATACCAGCTTTCTTGATGTTAGCGAACCAGACTTCTAACATGGTTTTCACATTTGAATTTGCAAGTGCAACAATGAGCTCCTTATGTACAGCAACTTCCTCCAAGAGTTTTGCCAGTCTAACATTCACAGACTCATCAGGAACAACAGTTGGGTTAGTTCTCAAACCCTTGACGGTACCAAAAGGACCAGCTTTCTGCTGTTTACCCAGTAACAAAACCTGCTTCTGAGCATGATCCTGTCCTTGTTCCGCCAGCTGCAACTTTTCATTTAGCTCCCTAACTTGCTTCTTCAACTCAGCGTTCTTCTCCGATATCAGTACAATATCAGATTTAACCATTTTAATTCGCTCGGGAGATTCACATGAAGACAAGCCTGTCTAACAAATAAACAATAGGAAATCACAACACAATAAGTGGCCTATAAATCACAGAATCCACACCCCACACCCCCCCCCCCCCAAAAAAAAAAAAAAAAGAAAAAGAATAAAGAAACAAAAGCAACCATTAAATGATAATTCCCAATAACTGACACAATATTGACTTGGAAATGCACACTACGCATCATGTGACAAATAAGCTCATGTTCAAAATAATAACTACAATAACAAACCTTGCTTTTCATTCTCACCAAGCCAGGGGATGCAACAAGAAAGGCAAAAATACTAAGCAAAGACTAAGACAGCGAAGAGGGGACACTGGTGAAATGATGCCGCTTTCACAAAAAATAAATAAATAATAATAATGGTACAAAGCTGGCTTCTCTTTAAAAGCATTTTCAATTCTGTATCCTTTTAGTTTTCACCAAATAACCCCAATCCTTAGTGAAATCATGGCTTCAATTAAATCATTAAAACAAAAAACAACCCGAATTCTAACTATCAAAGCAAAACACCATCAGCAACACGCATAAAACCAAAGTCAACCGCAAGAAACAAAGTCAAATCTTTCAGGTTTATAAAAAATCAAAATTCAATAACAATGATTACCCAATTAAAGAAATTTTTTAATAGAAAACATCAGAATCAAGTTGACTCTATGTTAAGGACCCCAGCAGCAATCACAAAGTAGAGAGAAGTATACACAAAAGATATATTTGAAGCATTTAAAGGCAAAAAGATTTGAACCTGAAGATTTGAACTAGCAATTCGACGATGTGAGCCAGTCGGATTGGAGCTGAAAAACCCATGAGGATAAAACACAGCAAAGACGCAGCCAAGAAGGATACCGATCAAAATGGCTACGGCGATTCGAGATCCTTGAAGTGATTGCCCTTTTTCTCTTCGAAGAACCGCCATGCCTTCCTGTGTTACGGTCCACGGTCAGTCTCAGAGAAGGAAAGACAAATAAGCAGCGGACCTTTGCCTTTTATAGCAAAATTAAAATAGGCAAAACTAATTTATTAAGATATAATTAATTTTTCGGTTAATTACACTGAAACTATAATTTGATACTTTTTTAACAAAATGATTCTTATATTTTATTTAATAACTAAAAAATTCATTGCAATATTAATATTATAATTTTATCATAAATATATAATTTCATACTTTATCATTAAACTAATATTATAATTTTGTTAAAAAAATTAAGTTTTTAAAAAATATTGAAAAAACTATATTAAAAAATCAAATTATTTTAACCTTTATTTTTTGAAGGTAATTAAATCAATTTTACTCTTTATTTAATTTTAAGTTAATTTAAAGATACATACAATCTTGTTTTGAGGAGCAAGTAGAGGTTATTTTAAAAAATATTTTTTGTTTGAAAATATATTAAAATAATATTTTTTAAATTTTTTTATATTTAACAAATTAAAAAAATTAAAAATATTAAAAAATCAGTTTTTATGTTTTTTTGAACAAAAACATTTAAGATTTTTGAAAAAAAGGCCACACAGCACCTTATCGTACATCGGAGGAGGTGTGTTCTATCTTTTTATTTTTATTTTCTTTTTGGTTTTTTTTCCTAAGATCGATTAAAAATAAAAAGCAAAACGGAGAACGGAGAGGAGAGGAGAGGATCAGGTGTAGATGATTTGAATGATCTGCAAACAGGTATCAGTCTTGGCCTTGCGAAAATAATAATCGCGCGGCTCTAGAATCGTGGGGCCCGTGAATGGATAAAAAAAAACTGGAGCCTTTCACTTGGCAGAATACAGTATGTTTTAGTTTTTATAGAATTTAGAAACAAGATGGGGGTTGATCATGGGTTTGATCAAGTTAGGCAGGGGGAATTCTTCTTGCAAGTACAGTTAATTCATGAATTCATGGACTTCGCCCAAATTCACCAGGGTTCCAATGACCCCACTGAATTTTCTACATCTGACAAAAGTCAAACCCAAATTCACCAGGGTTCCAGGATGTTGGACAGGAACACACTATCAAATCTTAGCTCTTCTTCGCTTGGCCATCTCCATGGAGTTACATTGACAGCAGAAACTGCTATATATCTATAAACTAAACTTAAACTTATAATTCATTGGAAATTGTTACATGAACTGAACCTGTCCATATACAGCGGGCCTATCAGAATTATTTATGCAATAATCTGCTGTCACAACTTGCAACTCAAACCAATTTACCAAAGACTAAATTCTCTCAATCATTACAAGCTTGTCTTCATCATATTGTGAATGTTACACATCACCGTTTACTCGTTGATCAGGACAATCCGATTCATTAAAAATCTAAATAACATCTTGAAGTGAGCTCAAATCTTCTATAAATATGAGAATGGCCTCTGCATGCAACCAAGATGCTGATTTTGGAGCAACCTGCTCCATCAATTCAGCGGCAAGTTCGAACTACCTTTAACTTTGAGAATATAAAAGCACAACACATGCTGCCCTTAGCAAGTTTAGTGTTAACAGTCTCAAAAAAAGTTTGCTATCTGAACTAAAATCGCATATATCATGAAAAGCAAGTTACAAATTTAAATTTTAACATATCAACAATAGCTGCTACGCAGTCAACTGGACCATATAGTTTTTGATGGCAAAACTAGAACGTAATACAATATACCTGGCAATGAATATTTACATCAGATGTGCTTGACGATAAAAAGTATTTGATTAGTGTTCAAGCTCAACGAGTTACACAACTGAGAACCTCCTATGCTTCACACAGTAGCAACAATCCTCCTAGTGACAAAACTGGATCACCGCAATTCTTAAATGGCACTGCCTGCTTGAGAACTAGATTTCTTTTCCTGCTTAACATGTCACGCACACAGAAGAGCATGCCATTAGTAAATGACTTACTGGAATAAACTCCATTCTTATCACAATCAATTTGACAATCTTTGTTCAAAAGTTTGTTCAAAAGTGTGTCGTGATACTTTTAAATGATTGAGATATTAATAGAAGTTGGAGAATGAGAGGAATGCTTATTTTTCTAGGTTTAGTGTGTCGACAATTAACATCCGGTCCTAATTGATGGCAATGGAGCAGGGAGAGATGGTCTAGCTTGTTAGCATATTGTTAATGCCAGCCACATTGGAAGCTTCACCCTCCCTGGTCAAAGATGAAATTTGTGCTCAAGACCCATAGGGGCTTATTCCAGTAAGTCAACTTAGACAGACAATTCTTTCCTGATAAAGATGATGACTATCTAAATATCAAATATTGTAAATCAACCAATTCCTAGGAGACTCCAATGTGAAAAGGGATGGGAAATTACAGCACAAATTGAGCAGCAAGCACACCACAGCTGAAGAGAAGGAATAACGAAAACTTAGCCACAAGCAAACAACAATTAAACTTCAAACACATTCAACGATCACTTAAATTTCTATGACTCCAAAACCTGAGAGCATAAACCTAGTGCCCCGAGGTCATGCACATAGGCTAGAATTACATAATGCCATTTTGGCTGCTCTTGCCTGTCAAAAACTATAGTAGAGAACTTGTATATGCATGCAAATACACCAGGTCCTTAGAAATGCCTATGCATTTAAAAACTCCAGTATAAACATGATTAGAAATGATGTAAAATGACAATTGTGTTCAGAAAACCAGCAAAAATAAAAATGGAAAGGAAACCACGCACACACACACACATGTAACATGGAGGAGAGTCATACATCATCAGAGCTGGTAATATATGAAACAACAACAGTGATGTCATCAAGCTTGCCACCATAATAGCGAAACCCAGCATCTTGTGCAGCAGTCGAGAATGGGGTCTGCCGATCTTTATCTTGGGCTCGTTGCCGTGCTAATGCAGCTATTTTCTGAGCTGTTGCCTGAGGCTCTAAGCCAGCTCTCATGGCATGAACCACCACAGCATTAATTTCATTGTTGTACAAGTTGTCAAACAATCCATCTGTTCCAGCAACTATAACATCTCCAGGAGCAACAGGAATTGTGAAAACCTGAATCAAATGGGGTTCTTTAGTTCATCTACACATTCCACAAGGGACCATGACTGAATCATATCCAAAAAAGAAAATCACAAATCATATGTATTTTTCTTTTAATCACAACTGCTTTTGGCGATTCTAATGCCAGGTATGACTATCAAAACTCATAGACGATCAACAATGACTAGAAATTCAGAAATATAGAATAAGCAAGGTCGCAAGGAATGCAACAAGAAAATGCTTGTGATGTTCAATTAGGCTCAAGAAAATATGAAATCATTAATGATACATTAGACCATATGAATGCTAAGGCACTTCACATGACCAAATACCTGTTCTTCAACACAAGGTCAACCACAACCAGAAATTCAGTTATGCAACATTAGTATGGTTTCTAGGAATACAACTACTTGCAATATTAAGTTAGGTTTGAGAAAATATGACACAGTTGATGACAAAGTAGATACCATATGAGTGGTAAGCCATTTTACATGACTGAAAGGAGCTTAACCAATCTGCACCCATATTTGTAAATAAAACAAGACAGTAACATGAACAGAACATGCAAAAACTAACCTGGCCAGAGCTAGGCAGATCACCATTGTTTCCATTCTCAAGTTGATAAGTGAAATTAAAACCATGTTGCTGCACAGGAGATCGGAAGACAGTGCATCCATCTCGAACCACTATAAACCCACTATCCCCTAAATTGATCGCATGGAGACCCTGATTATTAACAAGAAAAATAATACAAAAGTTAAAAAAAAATAAAAATGAAAGACATTGTGGTCTTGTCTCAAAAAAATAAACAATCAACAAGATTTAGTTCGAATATGAGCCAGTGGTATCTGTTCATAAAGTAGACAAGTGCAAATGCATCATGTGGAACCACCCAAATATGAAAAAGAAAAGAGCTAATTAATACATGCAAATATGAAAAGGGATTTGCAGATAATCAATATCATAAAACTCAAACTGTTGATATAATTGATCCTTGCTACAATAGTTTTCATTTATTTATCTTTTTATTATTATTTGTACCACACGTGGATGAAATTGAAAGATTTAGTCCCTGAATAGATGATATCAATTATTACATAGGATTAGGGTAGTGGAAATTTAAAAGATTTTAACTCTAAATGGCTTGTTGCATTTTCTCTGTCCACCATGAAACCACAAAATGATGGTTATAGCTGAAAAGCTCATCACTGCAGCTTTTCAAAATCCATGAAAAAAGTGAGAACAGATACCTGGTCTGTCAGTGCTATGATGCATGCTGTTGAGGAACCTTTGGCTTTAGTGCTAGAGTGAGCTTTCTCCAGGACCCTAGCTGGATCAATTGAGCCCTTGGGCTCCTCTTGAACTGCAGCAACTGAATTGGACATGAGCTCCCGAGAATACAGCCCAGAATCAATACCATGATCAGCCCAACCACCCACACCATCAGCTACACCAACAGCGTGTTCATCTGTACAAATAAAGTGGGCATCCTCTCCACCAGTCTCTTCTTTATCAGGATGGGGCAGGTAGCATGATCCTGAGAGTAGCTTGAGCATTTTGCCAGTTGAAATCTTCCTGCAGACAATTTGAAGTAAGATTGTAAATGCTAGCATTCATTCTATTGAACAAAGAAAGCCACACAGACAAAGTGAAAACCATCTAGACCAAGCAATGTCTTTGGTCTGAATTAGACACGCATGGGAAACAAAAGGATCATGCAACTCAATTCCTAAATCAAGATCTGAGATGATATATCATGAAAAATGAAATAAGTGAATAGGTCTAAGAACATACTGTTCTGATGAAGCAGAACCTTCAGGCCGTTCCTCACGGGTAGAATTCTCATAGGTCACATCAGGAGCAGTTCCAGCTGCAAAGCATGAATGTGCTGAACTTTGGAAATCTCTAAATCCCGTCTCCATGTATGGAGAAAAGTCACACCACCTCTTTGCAACATTATAGACAAAATATCCATAAATTGGAGAATTGGTAGGTTGCTCTTGGTTTTTCAAACTCATGCTAGCCTTTCTGAAACTCTGGGAACTACTGCTGCCATAAGAGATGCAGGGATTGTTTGTCGATGAGGGAAGATGCCCAACCCTTGAAGTCAGATTCTCTAATAAACACTCACCAAATACAGCTCTTGATGCTCTAGCAGCCATTGGCTTATTGTAAGGCTTCCCACTGGCCAATATTTGATTGTTGTCACAAAGGGCACGATCTATGTGATAGCCACAAACCTGAAACGAAGGGCCTGATACAGAGGGTACAGAAAGTGTACGAGAAACTGCTCCAACAACAGAGATATTCCTTTTTCGGTTAACTACCAGTGAATCAGAACTGGCAGCAACAATTGTACCGGGTCTCAACAGTAGTTGTAAATCTGTAAGCGATGCAACACATACAGAATGAAATAACCTATAGTTGCAGAATCGAAACTTTCCTTGCCCAATCAGACTCTCAAAATCTTGCAGTACACCTTCTTGTCCTATTCCCGATCTCTGAATCCCTTTCTGAACCGCACTCCTTAACCTAGAAAAATACGTAGACGGCATCTTACCCTCTTAACCAAAAAACTCTCAATCGAACCCGTCTATTACTGCCACCACTAGATACAGATAACAATCTCATAACTTCCAACACATCTATACTTTTATACTCCAGCAACAAAATTCCTCTTCCCTCAAAAGCCTATAATACAAAGATGGCCATAAAAAAAGATCATACACATATTAACCAACCATTCTACAAGCAATGGAACCAAATCGAAAAAAAAAAACATAGATTACAACCAGCCCTGAATCCTAATCCGTACAAAATCCTCTAAACAAATCAATTTTAAGCTCAGTATCATCTAATTACATGATTATTACAGATTAGCGTGAGCAATTAAACACTAGAGGCGAAATTCCTTCCACAAAAAAATTCCAGGAATTTTAAAAAGAAAACCCACAAATTTAAACATGGAAATATAGGAGATAAGATAAGAAAAAAGGCATCTTTTATTGAATCCAGGAATCTAATCCTCTTTATCTTATGGGCACAAAAAAAAAACAGAAAAGAAATAACCAAAGCTCCAATGAAACTGGTAAATCTCCAAGGAAGTAGGTACCAGACACGAGGCTCTCTAACCCCTTTTTAGCTTTGACTCTTCTTGGACTTTATTTCACGATCGCAAGAAATGAAGGTAAAAAGAAGAGGATTAAGAAAGTTCTTTGTAGTTAATCCTCGCCGAACCCTAAAGCCACAGAAAGTAAGACAGCGACAACCGAAGGTTTTCTTTCTTTAAATTACCAGTTACCACTACTAAAGAACGGTCACCCGTTCATTAACATGTATTTTCAAGGATGCAATGGTTGTTTTATGCTTTGACTGATTTGACACTCGATGCTGCGTCCTATTGACGGTATGATTCTGTTGTTTTCGTGATTTGTTAGGGTTAGTTTGGTGATTGTACAGTCACGTCCAAACTAGTAGGCGATTAGTAGAGGCAGGATTTGCTAAAGTGCGCCGGGGTACAGCGAATGTACGAGTTCTTGCAGGTGACCACATGTTGTTCGTGTTATTTATGAATTAGCCCCGCGTTTTGTATAATTTTTCTTTTCCGGACGTTTCGCAAACATAATTTACAGATTAAAAAACTTGAATTCACGAACATAATTTAAATATGCAAAACATAAAACAAATTTAAAGTCTTCAATATTCAAATAAAAGCAACCATAATCCATAAAAAAAACATTAATTCTTACAATTTTTCTTATACGTTGCCAAATTTGAACTCCAAACTCTAAAAATTCAATTAAATCAAATTCATTTTATTAGCTAAAGTTCTAGTCAGTTCAACTAATATTAGTAAATAAATTCAATCCCCACCACTAATTAAGAAATAAATCCAATCCCCACTTCTAATTAAGAAAAAAACCAATATTGTTAAAATTCTTGAAAGAAAAATGATCAATTTCTAAGGAATAAGATAAAATTCGAATGGATACTAAATTATAAAATTAGTCATGATTTTTTATCTTTATTTTGTTGATTTATACACCACATACAACTATAAATAACATGAGATAAGCAAGTTAAATCATTTCTAAACTATATGGTAAAATATTGATATTTTATTTTAATTATCAAAACCCTAAAAACACTTAAAACAAGTCAATAAGAAACTGCGCGTCCCTTCTAAACATCTGGACCCATTCTGTCGCCACATTTTAAACTTGGCACGTAAGAGGAATCAAACTGACAATCTTAAGGTCATTGAACCTCTCTGCAACTGGAAGTTCCTTCCTTCCATAGACGCAAAACACTCCTTCCCGAGCCTTGTTTTACCATTGATGTTGTAATGCTAAATGGAGAAGTGCCCGAGTCTCGAGATCGGCAGCGGTTTCCTTTCCCTTCAGAGTATAATGTTTTGCTTTCATTTACAATATCCTCGACAGCTCGACCCCTAATGTCTCTTCCCTGCCATCTTTGTTTTTATACGAAAACGTCAGTAAACTAAGTATACTTTTTGAATTTTCTTTCACTCTGCAATTGGTCTTGATCAGGTTCTTTATTGCTTCACGAGTTTCCTTCTCTATCCTCCTCCTCTCTGTGTTCTTCATTTGAGTTGATTCAAAACAGAATAAACTATCCACCTTCAAACTTCGAAATGCATCAGAATCTAACTATCAATGTTCTTGTCTTCACTTTCAAGACTCACCATGGCGCCTAACATGCATGCATGATCAGTTGAATCAGATTCACCTACGCACAAAAAAATGGAAAGATGATCTAAGCAAACGCGCTACTGGCTGGACAAAAAGAAAAATAAAGCCTGGAAGCTAGGCAAGGTGCTTTTACTGGACAAAAAGAAAAATAATCACCACAACCCTGGTATACAAGCATTTCCTAAAGCCTGGAAGCTAGGCAAGGTGCTTTTGTTGTTCCTGCAATGAAAACATGTAAGCCGCTTTATAATTAGTCATTTCATTCCATAGTTATAATTAATAGATATATAAATGTATAACTGTTTTCATGTGTCCAAATGAACAAGGATTTTTACATGATCATAATAGATTGTGATTCGTGCTTTATAATAGGTCATTTGAATCCATGGTTATAATTAATTATATTGTGAAAACAATAAGCTTCAGATTTCATAATTTCTTCAAAGCTATCATAAAAGCTTTATTCATTTGCGCAGAGCTCAATCATGAAAGCCTGATTTGCGATCCTCCTACGAAGAGCCCACTCCTCACCTTTGAGCCCAAAGAGCAGCTTCGCCAGAGGCTTATCTCTTGCTTTCTCAAACGACCCACCACTCATGTTCATGAGAGCCTCTTTAATCATATCATGGGCTTGGTTTCAAACCCATAAGGAACGTCTTCCCGTTTAAAGACATTGGCTTGGAGCAAATACATGATAATTAGTTGATTAAAGGATAGTGGGGTAGAATTTATTTTTAAAAAGTATATTAATTCTTTAAAAAAATTATTTTTAATACATTAAAAAACACATACAAAAAAAATTAATGTAAAACTAGAAAAAATTCAAAAGCACAGATGAACTGTGATGTCAAATAAAACCTAAATTAATGTGCATCCACGAAAAACGTTGTTAAGATATGACTTAATAAATTAATCTATAAAATCAAAGATTTGATAAATTAATTTACAAAATCTAAGACTTGAAATCTAATTGAAATAGACAATTAGATAAGATATTAACAAGAAAAAATCTACTTTAACTTAAATTAGTTTCTGGTGATACAATGGACATGAATAAACTCATTCTAAACGTGATCAAATTAACATCAATATTGTTTTTTTTTAAGACTATTTTAATAAAAAACAATTGGTGCAAGTTGACAGGTTACCTGCAACTTAACTTCATTACATTTTTTTCGAGTCACTTTCGTGACCTTACTAAGACTAAGAATGGACGGTGGTTAGCGCCATTAATTTATGCCTGGCTTTCGGAAATGGACCTGGATTCTCCACGGAACCCATACCACCACCGAGTAGAATGATTTCATGATGCAGGCGAGTGAGAGCAACACAAGCAGCAGAAAAGGAAGATGCACGGTCAAATCTCAGACCTGTGTGTAAGAGACAAGGTACGTAGTGTTGCTCAAGGGCTGAGGTGATGAATCGGTGATCAAACCATGCACAAAAAAATAATTTAAACACGAGATTCAGGAATTGCTCTGCCCACTCTCCACCTTTCCTTCATTTTCGCTTTAGAGCAAGAGAAGCTAGCTAGCCATATGTTATTCACTAGGAGGGAAAAATTAGCCAGTGTGGAGGAACACCATCATTACTCATCAAGGAAGGGATAACAATGCTCTCACTCTCAAAGTCTCAGCCTCAGGTCCACTGCAAATATGATTGTCTAAGCAATCATTTCTTCTTCTTCTTCTTACTAGTGACGCTACAGCATTTGAATTTATTTATTTGTCGAATATTGGGTCCAACCATCTTTCTTTTCTTCTATTTATTTATAAATGGAATGATTCAATATTGATTGCTACCCAAATTGCAATCATGCATTACATGTTTCTTTCATATGGAACCAAATTGAACAGCATATCTTACCAACTTGATGGTGGTGGTAATTAAATACTAGCAATTATTTAATATATTATTCTTATTTGATTGCATACCTTGTCACATGGAGATGGGAGAGATTTTGATAACATTTCTTTATTGGAGAGTAGGTTGGCATGTCTACAACACAAATTAGAAGAAAACTTTACATTTTTGGAGCCAATAATTGGTGTTTGCTTGGCAAATTATAAGAACCCCGCTGCTATAATTTTCTATATGTTAAAAACAATTAAATATTTTTTAAAAAATTACTTACACCACACTATAATTTAGTCAAAACACCAAATATAACGCTTTTCAATTCCATTAAATCAGACAAAAACACACCATAAAACATAGTACAAAAGTAAAAAAAAAAAAAAAACACTCCTGAACTACTGAACAGAAGGACACACAATACACCAAAGGTTTGAATATTATTTGAGACATCATAGTGTGCATATACTCGTGAAATGGGCCTTCTGCGGTTCAGCATAGGATTCACCGTACAACCGCTTAAAGACAAAGGCCACCACACAAAGCTCCTTTCAATTTAAAATCCTGCGAAAGAGGATCTGTGCACCAAATTGAGGCTGTGTGCTCAGCAAGAGGCTTGGTGCGTGAACATAGGTGGGCGACACAACGAAAGAGTAACTCCTTATTATCATGGCCAGGACAATTTTTACCTCCATGACTGCTAAATTTTTACCAACACACATTCTAGGACCTATCCCAAATGGAAAAAATGAAGCCAAGTGATTTCTTGGCTCATTGAATCTTAGGGGATTGAACTCATTAGCATCTTTCCCCCATATATCAGGGTCATGATGAACAGAAGGCAAGGCTAAATAGAAATGAGTGCCAGCAGGAACGTCGAGGGCTCCCAACTTCACGTTCTTAGATGTTTGCCTCGGCAACATCACGACTGGAGGATAAAGTCGCTGTGTTTCACAGAGAATTGAGTTCACCTATAGGAAAAAACCAAGATATAAATCGTTACAAACATGAAAATGAAATTTCTAAACGGATAAACACACACACACACACATGTATAGAATGGTTCTAAAATTTAGCTATGATGTAAAGCAGATTAGTGTAATCGTATCCTTCAAATACTTGACTCTTTTCCAATCCATAACACTTTGAAGCTGTCAAGTAATCAAGGACCAAACTTACAATCTTAAGGTCATTTAACTTCTCTGCAGCCATAGACTCATTCTCTCCGAAGATGGAAAACACTTCTTCTCTTGCCTTGTTTTGCCATTCTTGATGCAATGCTAAAAGGAGAAGTGCCCAAGTCAAAAGATCAGCAGTAGATTCCTTTCCCGAAAAGTAGAAGGTCTTGCATTCGTTTATAATCTCCTCAATCCCTAGTTTCTCTTCCTCGCCCTCTTGATTTTTATAGGAAGACATCAACAGACTGAGCAGGTTTCTTGAATTCTCTCTTTCACTGTTGTTATTTTTTATCAAGTTGCGTATTGCTTCACGAGTTTCCCTGTCGAATCTCCACCTCTCCCTGTTCTTTTTGGTGGGCAAAAACCTGCATATAAATGAAGCAAGAAAGTATATCACAAAAGCCACTCGGTAAAAGAAATATTATCCGTAGACTCTCGATACAATTAAATTAAATAATTTTTAACTGATGAGAAATAAAACATTCACCTGAACCCTGGAATATAGACATTTCCAAAAGCCTGGTAGGCAAGGTACTTGTGTTGATCTTGTAACAAAAATATAAGTTTCCCTTCTTCATAATTGCTTCCAAAAGCCGTTTTGGCTATAACGTCTGAGGTGAAGTTTTGAAGCTCGCTATGTACATCGATCTCAAATTCATCTCTCCCTCTTCTTATTTCCTCCCACTTGATTAGCATCTTGGTAATGCTTTCCACAATTTCTGGCACCCAACCCTGTAAAATAAAGATTTTGAGCAAGGAGTTTTTTAAGCTATCAATCTAGTGTGAGATTTTTGTCTAAGTTGCGATTAACAGACGGCCAAGGCTGTCATGTTTATAGTAAAATTCAAGTTGGGCGTAAACCAGAAAAGAAGCTGTCATGTTTAGAGGGAGCAAAAGGGCTCACCTTAACCCGCTCAATCATAAACGCCTGGTTTGCGATCCTCCTATGAAGAGCCCACTCCTCACCGTCCAACCCATTAAGTCCCTGTCCAAAGAGCAGCTTGGCTATAGGGTTGTTTCGAGCCTTCTGAAACGAGCCATCACCTGTATTCATGAGAACCTCCTTGATCATATCAGGGTCCGATATAGCCAACGTTGGCTTGGTTCCGAACCAGTAGAGGAACGTCTTCCCATACTTGCGCGACCACTCGTAGTAAAATGGGGCAACTCGGTGGACGATATCGTGGTTAAAAGGCATTGGCTTTGATCTTACTTCACTAAATAGACGGCGATACTCGGGTGTGTTTCCGAAGATTGGACGGTAGTTAGGGCCACTTATGCCTTGCTTTCTGAAGTAAACTTGTATTCTCCATGGCACCCATATCACCGAGTGTATAAATTTGAAGATGCAGACGACTAGTAACACAATCATAAGAAAAAGAAGATGCATTGCTAAATCTGCTTGCGAGTGTGTGTTAGCTGGTGAAAGGGAGAGAGAAGGTAGCTTGGAGGTAGTGTTTAGGGTGCGCTCAAGGAAGGCGTATACATTAAGAAATTTTGCCCTTTATTTTATTAATATAATATTTCTCATTTGATCCCTATAAATTTTTATTCCAGCTCCTTTATCTTTCTGTTTTTTATTTAATACCTTTTGAATTACAATTAATATTAATATTAATATAATTCATCGTTTATTAAACATTTCTTAGCACATTCATGCAAAAATAAGAATAAATTGCATCGTATTATCAAATAAATAAATAAACTATAGCAGGATGTTTTTACATAAATTTGTTTTCACAAAAGACAATAAGAAATATAAGACCAGTTTTTCATTTCTTAGAAATTAGAAACTAATTAGCAAGATATATATTAAAAAATAAATAATTGGAAAAAATATTTCACTCAAACTGGAATGACAATATGTGTTTGTATATATATATGTTACCTATTAAATTAAATGCCTTTATTATAAGATGACATTTTATATTTAAGTGGGGCCTATATCACCATATAAATTGTCTCAGATTTATTTTTCTAAGATAATCTCTCAATTTATGTGTTTTTTTTTTCAATAATTTATTTGGTGATATTGATCTTACACAAATATAAAAAAGTCATTTTATAAATAAGAATTTTTTATATATATGATATCCTATTCGCATACATGATAGATACTTGACATTTATATATATATATCATTCTTATCTAGTTTTTTCAACACAAAACTAAACTAATATTACTGTGGCTGAAATCATTCTTTATATATATAATTGATGATGGGTTGCATCAATCTTTTAACTTTCTTTTATTGCAATCTGTATACCCTATTATTTAACACCTCACCTGAGATAAAATAATACCTCGCCTGAAATGATCATCGATCGGTCCCCACCAAGAAAGGGAGATCGGATTCATCAATTTTCTGGCGAGATCGCGGTGGCAGCCCCACCATGTTTAGTGCAAAGATATCGAATAGTTGAATCTCCCACATGCATTTCGATGATGGCATGTCTCATTTGTGTTGGAACTATAGTTTTTCTGTTCGGACTCAAGAACTCAACAGAATAGAGTTGTCAAGTCAATTAATCATATGGCAACACATACAAAGACTTGTTTTGTTTACAGGAGATTAGGGTTCGCTCCTTACAAATGAAGATCTTTGTCTTTGAGAATTAAAAAGAGAAGAAGAAACAACTATTTCATTGTGATGGTGCATATACTTTTTACTTAAAAAACAATTATTGGCCCAAACGGCAACACCTGTTGCCGTTTGGTTGGAGGCCTAAAAAGCAGTACCCACGACATTTGAATCGTGGCCCAAATGGCAGTACACATGATGTTTATGCGCCGCTGCACCCTTGTCCTTGCAGCAGCCTGTCCAATACACCCATGAATAATTTTTTTGAGCTCCAAGGATTGAGAATTTGTTGCCCAGCACAACTTTTTTTCTATGTTTTTACTAATAAATTCTTTACAAATATATACTTTTATACAGTAATGGTATATTTTTAGTTAATGATCACAATATAATATATACATATAAGAGATATTTTTTTATAGGGCAATGCATATCACTCCACTAATAAAAATGTCAAAATATTATTATAATTCATAAAAATAACTTAACTAATCAAATTTTAAATTTACCTTCTAATAATTACAAGTCTAAGTGTTTTTAGGGTCACTAGAAGCTTGTACAATTATTAATTTTAAGGCTATAAAATTAATCCAGATATACTCAAGTTGACATTAATATTTATATTAATAAAAAAATATTATAATTAATAATTTCTTTTATCATATGTTTACCAACTTAAAAATAATAGAAATCATAGTTTCCGAATGACTTATTTTTTTTTTATATATAGAAACAATCAACCTTAAACACAACCAAATTCAAGCTCACATGTCTTGGCTCAGCTAGCAATCTTGCTATGTGAAAAGACTATCAAGGGCCTAATTTCAATGTGAGTTTTTCACACCGTATTTGAAATGTCGATGGCTCAGTCATCTTGCTCAGCCGAAGTTTTGTTTCTTATGTGAAAGCACCAATGTCTAATTCTTAGAAGACTCGGATCGAAGCACTAAGCAAGGAGAAACAATGCATTAACGCTGTACCCACCCGTGCCCCAGAGATATTTTTTGGAGGGTTAATTCTTTTTTTTCACTGTCAACAAATAAACCAGAAAATTAATGCCATCCAACAATTTTTTGTTGCAATCATCATACTGTGCCTTTTGCGCAAACATATCAAATATAACACACTTCAATTCTGTCAAATAAAATAGGATACCTAACACCACATTATACAGCCTAGAGGGTTACTGAAATTCCAATACTATAAGCACAAATTAAGACACCAGACCACAGACAACAGACAACAGACAACGCTCTCAATTTTTAACTTGTAATCCGGCGGAGGAGGAGTTGCGCACCATACTGAGGCTGCATGCTTATCAGGAGTCTTGGAGCATGAAGGTAGGTGGGGGACACTACGAAAGAGTAACGCCTTAATATCATGGCCAGAGCAACTTTTGCTTCCATAACGGCTAAATTTTTACCAACACAGATTCTAGGACCTAGCCCAAATGGAAAAAATGAAGCCAGGTGACTTCTAGGCTCGTTGAACCTCAGCGGATTGAACTCGTTAGCATCTTTTCCCCATGTATCAGTGTCATGATGAATAGAAGGCAGGGCCAAGAAAAATTGTGTGCCAGCAGGAACATCAAGGGTTCCCAACTTAACGTTTTTGGTTGTTTGCCTCATCAACATCACTGCTGGAGGGTAAAGCCGAAGTGTTTCATGGATTATCAAGTTCATCTATAAGAAAATACCGAGAGCAACAAATATGTGAGAAGTTAGGATATTCACTTAGGATATGTGCCCTGTGTTAAAATTTTTGGAAGATTTGCCATTGTGATTACTCTAGATGCCCTGCGTAAAACGTAATGAGACTCTTTCTGATAGAAATTAAACTTCGAAAGCAAGAATGGAATCGACTTACAATCTTAAGATCGTTTACATTCTCTGAAAGTAGAACTTCATTTCCTCTGCAGACAGATAACACTTCTTCTCGTGCCTTGTCTTGCCATTCCTGATGCTGTGCTAAAAGGAGAAGTGCCCAAGTCAAAAGATCTGCCATGGATTCCTTTCCTGCAAAGTAGAAGGCCTTGCATTCGTTTATAATCTCCTCAACCCCCAATTTCTCTTCCTTCCCATCTTGATTTTTATAAGAAGACATCAGTAAACTAAGTAGATTTCTTGAATTTTCTCTTGCTTTGCTGTTAGTTTTGATCAGATTCCTTATTGCTTCACGAGTTTCCCTCTCTATTCTCCACCTTTCTCTGTTCTTCTTGGTGGGCAAAAACCTGCATATTGAGGAAGCCTGAAATTAAACCCCAAAGTCATTTGCCAAATAAAATATCAAAATCCCTGGATTCTCAACATATTCCAACTCTATACAATCAGTCAAGCTAAACACCTCCAGCTAGTGCTATACAAAAAAGATTGTTCCCGTCAAAATTCAATGCAGTTTAACCTGTGTTTTGTAATCCAACATAGTAGAAGGATCCATCAGGCAAGAAGTTCAACAGCAATCACGTTGACAAGGTTGATTACTCAGTCAGTTCAATGTCGACTTGCTGGTACAACAGTAAGCCAAAGATAGTTACAAATTTTCAGAATTGTAAAAGATGGAATTTTGACCAGGTTTTTCCATAACAGATGCTTTTCATGTAACATATCTCTCCTGTATTGCTTTGAAATGGGAGCATTCCCCGTGATTTCCTTTGATTAATGAAATATATTCATTTATCAATTATAATTGTTATAGCTCTCCATATATGCTGAGTCTAGCATGCTTATTTGACTCAAGACAAACCTACGAAAGTTCGAGTAGCGATATTTTTAATGAACCCGAAGGAAAACGATCACCTGAAACCTGGGATGTAGACATTTCCTATAGCATCGAAGACAAGGTGCTTCTGTTTGTCCTGTAACGAGAATACTCGCTTCCCCTCCTCATAATTGCTTCCAAAAGCTGTTTTAGATATAACGTCTGATGCAAGGTCTTGAAGTTCTCTATGTACATCCATCTCAAACTCATCTCTTTCTCCTCTTATTTCCTCCCACTTTGTTAGCATCTTCATAGTGCTCGCCATAATATCTAGCCCCCAACACTGTAAGAAATATTTTGAGTCAGGTAAGTGAAAATTTATGTCCAACTTGCAGTAATTATTGGGAAATTAGATTGCAGAATTATTCGGAATTAGTTATACATTCAATTATATATAAAAAAAAAAGCTAATCAAACACTCAACTACCTGCACATACTGATCAAACAGGAATATTAAGAGAAATTCTTCGCATAATGATCCAACATTTCTGAGAATCCAGGACCTTTACTACTAATTGTAAACGTGAAGATATTAAAGTTAGCTTTAACGTTCCCCACCTTAATCCGCTCCATCATAAAAGCCTGGTTGGCGATCCTCCTATGAATAGCCCACTCCTCGCCGACCAAACCATTAAGCCCCTGTCCGAAGAGCAGCTTAGCCTGAGGGTTAAGCCTTACCTTCTCAAATGATCCACCACCTGTGTTCATGAAAATGTCCTTAATCATGTCAAGATCAGCTGTAGCCAATATGGGAATGACTCCAAACCAGTAGAGGAACGTCTTCCCATACTTGCGTGACCACTCGTGGTAAAATGGGGTTACCCGATGGACAATATTGTGGTTAAAAGGCATTGTTTTCTTCCGTGCTTCAGTAAATGAATTACGATACTCTTCTGTGTTCCCAAAGATCGGGCGGTAGTTTGGACCACTGATGCCTTGCTTTCTAAAATGCACATGGATTCTCCATGGAACCCATATCATTGAGTGTATGAATCTTAGGACGCAGACTGGTAGTAACACATAAAAAAGACAAACAAGATGCATGTTGAGCTCTCTCTCGATGTCCTTCTTGCTACTTCGCTTCCCTCAAGCAAGAGTTGTATAATATAACTTACAGGCTACTCCATTGATGGTTTTTTCTTCTTTTTTTTCCCCAGCATAGTAAAGAAATTTAATAAAACAATACTATACAATTTTTTTGTAAAAAAAAAA